CTGAAAACATACAAGGTCCAGTGAACAATGCCGCTGTTGGCCTTTATTCAATGTAGTATTAAAGTTTTGTTCACTCATGCAGGTGATTTGTGTAGATCTGTCCTTGCATGGCTCTCATGAGAAACCGCAGACAATATGTCATTTCTTAACAAAAATATCACGAACAAGTGAATTTCTCACTGTGGTTGTGGATGTACATTTTGTACATCTGTAGGTCCATGTACATGTACATGTACATGTAGCCTACCGTACTTCAAATGTATTCATGGATAAACATATGTTTTGCCATATATATGCATGTTTTCAGTTCACATTAATCTAAGTGCATTACAAAAAAAAAGAGAGACTCTTTCAATGTAAAAGATGTATTAAAGTCTTCCTGGATAGCTAGACTGTCCATCCAGTACATTCTCTGTGATATGTTTCAGTGGACAGATATGTTTCAGCGGACAGATATGTTTCAGTGGACAGATATGTTTCAGTGTTTGAGTACGTTCTCAGATTTCAAGAAAATCATATTTTTCTGTGTACTGTAAATACATTACGACATGTGATGGTATGAGCTCTATCATGCCTAGAAAGAGAAACTGATAACTGGGTGTCATATCTTCGTAGGGTCTCCAGGTACTTTAACCATAAAACATATCTTTACTGCTGATTTCTTTTCTTTGAATGCTACAAAGTGTTTTCTAAATGTCCCATACGACATACATGTACTATACATATATGTACATGTACATGTATGAAGAATCGCTCAAAACATGTTTTGCTCTTCATGTATAAAGTGTTCCTTGTGGCTATACTGTATTAAAAATATGGGCTTCAAATATTGCTTCTACAAAGAGATGTTGCCATTTAAATTCATGCTCAGTGAACAGCGAAACTTCTTGTCGGGTGGACTATTTAACATGGTTTACGCCCTATACAAGGGGTTTTATGTTATCCATTATTTTCTTCATATTCTTTCACCTTTTACCTAAAAAAAATACAATACAATACAATACAAAATTACCTGGCTTCCTATAGACAGAATGCCAGCTAAACTTTTTTGATGTTGAATACATACACAATAGATACAGTACACAAATTATCTTTTTCAGGTGAATGGTTCACTTTAAAGATAAAGTTGAGTTGTGGTCATGCGATTGCATTGTGAATGTTGTGAAACGATCAGAAAAGGTTGATCTTCAAGCACTGTACACAGAAAGATGTATGTGGGACAACACAAACATGTGGCATAAAAATCTGTCCTGATTTGTATGATGTTACATACATGTATGCCATATTTAAAATATTGAGGCATTTGAAGAGCCATGCTCTTCAGGGAACATGTTCTATCTGATGTTCTTCCACACTTAAATAATAGAACGATAACGCTCACAAGTTATTTTTCACCTCTTCCCAGAACTCAACTTCTCTTTAATAGACATGATGTATAGCTACAGAGTTCCCTCATCAGAACAAACTTATTTACGTCATCTGGCAGTGATCTGATGGTCTATATTTTAAAGGAAGTCTGGAAGCGGAAACCATGCAGGTGTCATAAATGCCTCTTTAAATTTTACGAGGAAAATGATTTGAATTTATTTGCTTGAGATTTTGATACTTTGCTGGTATTTGTAATCGATATGAACTCTTAAGCACTCTCTACAGTCTAACAAAGACTAAGTATTGCCATTCAAACAGCAGTCCAGCCCATGTAATAAGTTCATTTGTATGAAAGCTGAAAAATCGAGGAACAGAATGATAAGAGAAGTGTATGTAAACCCCCATAAAGATGGCAGTTACTAAAGTCGGCCTACAGTATGTTGTTATTTATTCTCTCTCTCTCTCTCTCTCTCTCTCTTTCTATCCATTCTTTTGATCTCATACATGTACTTCACTTGTATTTTTGTAAGAAACAAACTCTACTTTGTGCTCTGCATAAAGAGCACAAAGTAGAGTTTGTTTCTTACAAAAATACAAGTAATATACATACATGCAATATGGGTTTTCTCACACCCACATTATTTTCTTCTCCCATTTAAGAACTCTTGCAGGGAGATAATCTATTTGCTCGGGCTTTGACTGTCAACAACATAGCCTATCCGATATGCGTCGGGCTTTACAAGTATACTGATCGCGTTATGGAGACTGTAATCGGCGCGGGCGTCAGCCCGAGCACCTATCATCACTGGTATTCATATTCATATTCATATTATGTGTATCGTATGTGTGACGAGCGTATTCTTATGCATGATTCATAAGACTAGCCTTATTTGGTGATCGATTACTTTGATTCAACCAATCAAATATCATCTCCAGTTTCCTCATCGCTCATTGGCCTATTTTGGTCCATGCAACATAAATATTCATGCAAGAGCTTTACAAGGGGTTCATAGATTTTCTACGAACGAAACAAGGAACATGAAAGAAAATAAAACTTTTCGCATGCACCAGTGATGATAGGCGCTCGGGCTGATGCCCGCACCGATGTCAGTCTCCATAATGCGATCAGTATATTTGACATAAAGTCCGACGCATATTGGATAGGCTATCAACAACACTGTACACATTGTTTGGGATCATATTGTCTCTCAGAGAATTCAGTGTCCCTTCCCCTTTGTATTCCCTTTAATAATGACCCTCTTTTCTTAAAGATAAAGTTGGGTTCTAGGAAGAGGTGAACAATAATTTGTGAATGTTATTGTTATTATGCAAGTGTGGAAGTACATCAGATAAAAAAATGTTTCCTGAAAATCACGGCTCTTCAATTGCTTTCATTTTCTAAATTTGGCATGCACGTAACAACATAAAAATCAGGACAGATTTTTATGCCACCTGTTCGTTTAGCCCCATATACAGGTACATCTTTCTGTGTTCAGCGCTCGTAACTTTACCAAGACTGGGCCAAATTTCTTATCATTTTGATGATTCCAGAACCTTGCAGTACACACCAACACTTGTATGCTAGCTGATCAACCTTTTCTGATCGATTCCACACCGTTTCTTTCACAATGCAATTGCATGACCAGAACTCAACTTTATCTGTAAGTGGTGTTTGCAGGTAGAATGTGTCCCTTCGGGATGTGGCCACTGTTAATCTCTGAATTCATGAGAAGTATAGTTTAAAGTGGTCGTCCTAAGAAAAGGCGAGCATTATGCTTTTCTATCTTTCAAAGTCTCCTATATTGGTGATTGTGCTGTATCACTGAGTCTAATAATATTAATACTTCTATTTTGTGATATTATTTAGGTTAGGTCATTTACCAAAGCTTGGTGTATTGTGTATTGGCATGATTTAAATTTACATTTAAGTTTTAGTTATTATTTTAGAGTTTTAATTTCTGTCGTTGTTTTTCTTAATTTAGACAAAGACAAAATGCCTGAGAGCATATGTTTCTATTATTGTATGTGACATCTATAATATGATCATTTATGATGCAATATTTGAAATGCATACAATCATAGACGTCGGACCTGTGTCCACAAGGGTTTCAAATATTATAACACTGTAAATACGGATAATACCTTTAAGACCATGCTGTAGAGAGCTGGCTTGCAGTATTGGGTTTGAAAAAAAGGATGGGTTGTTTTAATTAAGGAGGCATGCATGGTCCTATCACATGATGTTACATGTAGGTAACCAATTAGAGGTCTAGTTGGAAGGAAGGGTGATGTGGTTTTGGAGAGTTTAAAGGAATCCTGTAACTTTGTCTTAGATCCTTTAGAAATATTCCTTGATTTAGCTCATGCTGCAATGATAATGTAGGTCAGTCAGGAACTCCATGACTTTTACAAGCCTGTCTGATTATCAAGATATTAAAGATAAACTCCAGTTCTGGTAAAAAAAAAAAATTAATTCTCACAGAATCAAACGAAATTTACACTGAATGTTCAAGATTACAAATAAATGACATGTGCCAAACAATTTTGGAAGAAAATGTATACTGGCTGAGTAATGAGCATAGAAAGACAAGGAAATCAAGGTAGTACTAGCCCCGACACCATGTGTGTTGTCCCATATATAGCTTTCTGTGTACAGTGCTTGTTACTTTACCAAGACTCGGTCATATTTATTATGATTTTGATGACTCCAGAACCTTGCAGTGCATACCAATACTTACATGCTACATGATCAACTGTTTCTGATCCTTTCTACACCTTTTCTTTCACAATGCAATTGCATTACCTGTACTAAAGTTTATCTTTAATGATTGGAATTACAAATTTTGAAAACCGTTCACCGAACAGTTTTCATAACACTACAGTCTATTGGGGAAAACGAGTATGGTAAAACCGGTCACTCAAAGATTTTTACTTTTTTGAGGCTCATGAACATTCAATAAGGCCATCTGTCTGCAGTGGCCATTTGCCTCTCGCTCTGATGTTGGTGGCCTTTAATAATTTTACAAATGTATATGCATATACAAAAAAAAAATCTTCTGTAAAAAAGAGTTTCAAGAACACATTCAATAAGTTTGTTGTCCATTCAAAAGGCCACCATGCAGCTTGACTCACACCTTACATCATGTATGTGGTTGTGAGCTATAACTGGCATACATGAGTCAGTAATGTTTCCCAGGATCTATTCCTTCTTCGTTTCTACCCTTCAAATATGATTACACTCACTTGAGCTTGATTAAAGGAAGCATGCAATCCTATTTCGTGCTAAGAAGAAGCTATTTTTGACTGATGGTGAGGAAACTGTGAATCAAAGTGGATCAAACAATTTACACCCGGCCATTAATGTTGCATGGAAGGAGATGATATGTTCACACCTAGTGCTGTGAAGAGCTTATTTGAAAAAATTTCCATAGATGCTGACTGAAATATCATGAACAGCTATGTAGAGAGAAAAACAAATTACAAAATATTGAAACATCGTAAATGAAGCTTCACAGGATATATAAACAAAATTATAAAATATATAAACAAAATAATAAAAGCAGCAGCAGCTGCTTATTCTGAATGTATTTTTAATGAAACTCGTGTTTTCCCCTTTACTTTTTATTTGACAGGTTTTATAAATGCTGAGTAAATAGACTAATCTCTATACCAGGGCTGAGCTTACGCCATTGTATCTCCAAAGAACTTGAACTACATGAAGGAACTTCAAATATGTCTTCCAAAGAGGAAAACAATGAGGAACAAAGTAACGGTGTAGGACTAAAGGAAGACAATGATACACCAACACCAGAAGATACAGATGGGACTATTCCTGTAATTTTTGTAGATGATACTTTGGAAGCTGATCAAGATGTGGATGAAATACCAGAAGAGGAAGAAGAACTTGATCAGATTGAAGAGGAGGATGAGGAGGAGACTGCATGTCAAGGGGATGAGGGACAGACAGAAGGAGGAGGAGGAGGAGGAGAAGATGCTATTGATGAAGAGGACGGTGGACAGGCTGATGAGATTCTGCTTGTGCCCACAAATGGTAATATTTTTTTTCATCATTTTCAGTAATTATCTGAGATTTCTCTCTCAAACTGTTCATTTTTAGTTATTAACTTAAAAGACAACATTTTACATGGCAGATAACAAAGCCTACGCACCTGCAGATTTTGGAGAAACAAATATTCCTTTTCTTTATAGCCTGGTTCCAGTATTCAAAATTTCATACTGATTAATAAGACCCCCCAAATTAAATGTTGTATTGCCCTTTAGGTGCCAAAACATGGGTCGGTCGGTCGGATATCTTTTTCTTTCTTTTTTTTTTAAACTTTTTTTATTCCCTCCTTCTTTTGGGTAATATTTCTCAGTTTTGAATAATTTAATTCATATTTTTGTATTAATCATAATTACATTTTTTTTAACTTAAAAAAAAAAAAAAAAGCCGACTGCAAATTTCAAGTTTTTTGGGTCCGTCGTAAAGGGCAATACAACATCTTTTTTGTTGCGTCTGAAGATGATAATAATAGTTGCAACATGTAGCACCATTTCCACCCGATACAAAGTAATTTGTGGGTAACCATTCGAATGAAAGTGCAGTATACAATTTTAGCAAACATTTTGAGATCAATAAATGCATCTAGGGGTCTGGGCCGGTATTCAATTCGATACTTCGAATAAGTAAGAAATTTACTGATCAAGTAAATTGTTCAGCTAAGAACTTGACTTATCTCTTATTCATATCGCATTTTAGACTTTTACATACTGTACGTAAGACAAAATCTAAGAAAAATACTTACTGATAAAAGCATTGTAACATCTCAGGTCAATCAAAAGTAATGCGCAATTTAATAATGCGTCGCAATAAATGCACACTAATATAATTGTGCGCAGGTTATGATACTTTGTTAGGAAGCCATGTGCCTGCCAATCAAGGCCTCCAAATAATTGACTCAAGTCTGGTAGGGAGCTGTCTTAAATTTAGGGTAAAATACTTTGCCAAAAGTTTGAACTGAATACCAAAATTGGCTAAGTATTTTATCTAAGCCAAAGATTTAAAAAAATACTCATATTTCAAAGTTAAGTATGAAATTGAATACTGTATCTACATGTATATAATTCTCCTCAAACTTTGGTTAAATAGTTCTAAGTCTGTTTGAAATGAGTTCGGATGAGGAGGGAGGCTGTTCCAGAATTTGGGATTGCTCAGTGGAGGACTGATTATGACATGTTTCCTTTTTGCTTTCTCACAGCTCCTTCACATTTTGCTTTCTCACAGCTCCTTCACATTTTGCCTAGATCGCTTTGGCAAGAGGTGAATAGCAGGTCACCAGGGTTAGTTGTGACAAAACATACAATTGATCATACTTGCGGATGTTCTCCAGTGATGCATCAGTTACTGCTAACCATGGACGGAAGACATATTTTTGATCAAATTATCCAATTGCTTTTGTCGTGCCACATTATGAATACTTGAACTCATTTTCAAACAGGCAGATGGCCCTGGATTTAATCAACTCATGCATTATTTCCATTTTATTTCCTTAGGCTGCATACATATAGTGTACATTGAGCTTGGTTGACATGATCAGTGTTTTTCTGCAGTCATGCTTTATAGTGGTATTCATTTAGCTTTCATAGAATGATCTACCTATTCATTAATATTTGTTTATGTGTAGTCTTAAAGGCCTATCCAATGAAAATACAACTTTATATATTTGGAGAGCTGAATGAATTTAGAATACAAATATTTCTCTTTCAGTATTGCACAAAAGCAAATTGACATCTCATTTTTCGCACCCCTCCAGATTACGGGTCAACAGGGGTCAAATTTGACGCGCAGTAAAACATAGCTGAGGCGATGAGCCGCGTTTGATTAATGCAAAGTCAATGGGAATATTCGTACTCCACATATGATGATGTTGTCAAGTCGTTAGTTTTTCGTTGACAACTTCCGATTTTCAAAGCTTTATATTTTGAGCTTCCAGAGAGCTGTTTACTCCTCTGACAGATGAAACTAAAATAGCAAACCATTGATTTTATTGTAATCTATGGCTTATAAGCTTTTTGTTGATATATATATTATATATATATATATATATATATATATATATATTTCATTTTCAACTGCAGACAGGGTCTTTAACTTTTTAACTTGGCCATGTTCATGTAAAAATGTAAGAAAAAAAATATCCCCACTGATTTCAATGTAAATGTATTTATTCAGGTATTATTTAGTTGGGGAGAAAAACATCATGTTAATTTCTAATAATAAGAATAATTCTGTTTGTAATGCTGTGAAAATAACCCTGAAATCATGGATGATAAACGAAGGAGTATTAATTTTAATGGATTTCCATAATTATATGATGTCACTTCCCATATTACTTCTTCTCATTATTTTTTACCCCATAGGTTAAGGGTTGGAATCCCAATCCAGCACTAACATCTTTTTGCAAGACAATAATCTACACTTGCCACCCTTCACCCAGGTGATGTAAATGGGTACCCGGAAGGGATAAATTCCTTGAGTGATACATGTAGAGCACCTTATCAGGGTAGCTAGGCTAAAGCCAGAGTATTAATAGGACAGTTCAGCGCTTAGAAACATCTGTATTGAGCACTCTTATCGTGATGATTATGATCTCTATATATTCAAAAAGATATATATGTACATGTACATGTATTGCACCCTACATTTTCTGCGTTCTGTTAGTTTCCCTTTTAAATATGCTTTTCTGACAAAATTGCACTTCATATTGCCAATTTGAGAATCTTGATTTCTTCTTATTTTGTATTCTTTTAACTTCTAGGTGACGCCATAGAAATGAATGAGGCACCATGCAAACCCCAAGACGGAAATGAAGAAGACATACATGTAATATCCGACGGGAAATATAAAAAGATTAAAACGTTAGTATCCCTCTTTGAGGCTGTTCACACCGCAATAAGATAGCGCGGTCTATCGTAGCACCCCCTTTTTTCTAGCGCGCGCTAGACCGTCCTCTCTCTCGTGGACCACCCCCAAGAGGTGCTCCAGTGGCATGCCGTTTTGGCTCGCCGTGGCTCGCTGTTGGGCGGACCGAAACGACCTTGTACCTTCCAAACCGCAGAGATAGCGCGGTCTACCGGTGTGAACAGCCTCTTTGATTTCTTTCAATGGTACCTGCCTATTATACAGATTTTCTTCTTTTAATTGGAATTTGAAATGAATGGAATTGAAGCAGTCAAGCAATGTTTATGACAGTGCATGTTGAATTAAACAGCTGGGTTTTTTAAAGGAAAATATGACATCACTTGCTTTTTTAAACAGTACAAAAAGTCAGAGAAACTGATCATAAAATAAGATGACTAATACAAAAAAAGTCATATGTTTATAATGATACAAGGTTTGCTGTCTAATGGAGACAGCTTGGTAACTTTCTGTAATACATGTTGTGGGCTCCCTATTCACCAGTTGTGGAGAATGGTTTTAAATATCATAAGTCTCTCATTTTTCTCTGCAAACTCTGATTTCTTGTGTCTTTGAACAATCAAATTTAGGACCAAATGATACATGTACCTGCATGTTTTTTTTTATTTGATTTGATTTATTAGTTTCTGCATCTTTTTTCTTTTTTTCATCATACATTTTCATGAACATAATATGGTTTGATACAATATTTCAAGTGTATATAATTTTATACAGATAATAAACGAAATTAAACAAATACATTGAATGCACAATTAACATACATTAGATGCAGGAGGGCTACAGAAATAAGCACAGTAGCTTGACGTGCCCGCAGCCCTCAACTTAGATACAACAATACAAATTAATTTTTTTTTTAAAAGAGTGACTTGCAGAGAAGAAAAGGAAAGGGGAGAGAAGGAGCGTTGGTAATAATACAATAAATCTCATGCATCTGCTGATTGAATTCAGGTTCATTCATGAATGGATAAACGATGCTAGGTCATGGACGATTACACATCATTGTTGAATATACAGTCATGTATACAATTGAAGTAATTTTCATTCATTTGTATACCAAAAAAGCAAGATTTTGTATTTATAAGCTTTTGTATTCAATAGCTATTCATTACAAAAAATCTTATAATAATATCCTTTTAACCATATGACAGATCAAGAGATGAATTACCAGATTTGTCATTTTTAAGCAGCTTTAGGTTATTCATTTCTGATATAAAGGGTATTATTCAGTTTCATATCAATGGAGTAAATTAAAGCAAAGACATGCACAAAATGAATTTAGAGAGCTGAATTACGTGTAGGTCAGGCTTTTAAGTGACAGTGCATGACCCGTGCTAAAGGGATACAAAGTTTGACACAACAGTGAGCAGTCTAGCCATCAAAATGCCACATTATGCAGTGTAAGGGCTCTGTCGTACAGTTGCTTGAATTCATTGCAACTGTTACTTTGTGTCAGACCGACCAAGAACATTGTTGTATTAAAGTCAATGTGATGACGACTACAAGATTAGATTATTATAAGTATTATATAAGTGGTCTGCCGGGGCTGGAACCCACAACTTTTTGCATTCCTCGTCAAGCGATTAAACCACTCGACCACGACATCTCTACCGGTATCTTGCTGTCTTACCTCTCTATAGATCTGTAATGAATGTTTGTTAATACAGTATGTACAATCCATCTTTAATCTGAGGTAACAGTACATGTACCTGGGTCTAGTTGGGTTAGGCGGAGAAATTATGCATAAAAAATGTCTTTAATTAAATAGGAACTCCCACATACATACACTTCTTCTTTTACCTGGGGTCCGTGCTGTCTTTTAATAGAGGGCAAAGTAAAGATAATCAAAATCTCTTCTTTTCTGTATTTTTGATGAGTCAAAGCTTTATATACCCCATGTACTTGATTGTGGTAGAAAGTAGAAACCACAACACAGGTTCAGAAATAGAAGGAGGATAAGAAGCAAGGAGAAAAGGATGACATTTAATCACAACCTCGGACCAAGTTTAACCTTCCTATGTGAAAAATAAAAAAACGGCCTAAAAAAACCCTCCATCTGGCAGGCCGAGGGCGATGAGTTGTCCAAAAATAGAACACACACAAAAAACAGGTTAGTGTCACACTCTTCTTCAGTGGCCAGATGTTTAAAATTAAATCTCTTTCTGATGCAGACACATACATGTATACACGTATATGTAAGGTGGTCTGCAACTGGCCAACCTCAGACCAATAACTTAGTGCACAGATCGATGGACTTTGAAAAGTTACCTCCTCATTCCATTCATATTGGTGCTCTGGCGACAGTTGCTCCAGGCTCTTACTTGATCAAAAGTGTAGGGTTTAGGGTCAAGTTGAGGGTAACGATTGGGTTTTAGGTAATTTTTAGGATTAGGGTTAGTGAAAGTTATATTTGAGTCCAGGTTTTGGGGTTTTTCCATTCAATGCATACTGCCAAATTTGTTATGCTGCCAAAATTGCTTGAGACATCATAATTGGATTTGGGGTTGCTCAGAGCCTACTGGAGATCGAAGGAGAGTGTCCAGTTTGGTTTTTGAGAAGGTTTTTTAGGGTTAGGGTCAGGGTGGATGTTATGGTTTTTTATAATATTGCATCAGTTGGAAATTTGAAGACGCACAATTTATCAGTCTGAGCAGTTGATGCCAGAGCACGCGTCATGAATACAGTCCTAGGTCAATATCATACTATTTTTTGTTCTTTTACATGTCTCTCAATGCATGTTCACCTACTTTTTTCCTAGAGAATTCTGGAAATCTTCCAAGATATTCTTTTTCTGGAGTGGAATAAATTAGATTGAAAATCTAGAGGTTAAGACTTCGAGTGATCTTATATAAATCTCCCCAAACAGCTGACTCTATATCTCTATGTTCATGTGTTGACATGCATATCAAGAAATCCGAGGGTACATCGATGGCATGAGCCTGCTGTGTTTGCGGTTTGGGCAGAGCACTATGGGAATTTCAAAATTAAATTTGAAGTTTTTATTCTCTGTGCTCTTTGGAACAGACAAAATGTTGCACAACAGGTATCTTTAGTGGCAAATTTGGTAACCCCCTGCCTCCATAGGCCTGTTTTCATCAGCTCGCGATTGCCAAATATCCCGCTATTTGAACTTCCCCGATCGCAAATTATCCAGCTAATTTGCGTCATCATCAGCCCGCAGTTGCAATTAGCAATATTTAATCGAGTTAATCATCCCACGATATCTTGGGCTAGTTTGCAAAATATCCCGATATTTTTCTTGTGCGTCTTCACCAGCCCAAAGACTCGCACTATGCGGGAACGCTGAGCAAAATATCTTGAGCTAATTTCTCGAGCTTTGAGTTTCAAGGTCAAGTCTCCTTCTGATGAAGACGCGATTTGTATACTTTGGGTTTATTTCCCAAATCAGAAATAGCGGGCTATTTGGCAATCTCGAGCTGATGAAGTCAGGCTTCATGAACAGGATGCTCCTGAATTCATCAAGGATGTGACCACAGGAATCACAACATCAATGCATTGTTAAAGAACCTTTGTTGGCATTGGATCTAATGAGCATGAGCTTCACAATAGGTCCACCTACCTCATGTTGAGAGAGGCATTAGAAGTGGTTGAATGTTGATACGCCATGCAAAGTTACTTGAGGAGAGTCTGAGATTGGTTGGTACACTGCACCCAACCCTAACTCGATATCAGCATGAATTTTCATGACTTAAGAACTGCCTTACCTGTTTAAGAACTTGTATTTATCATTATTGCATGGTTTCAAAGGTTGCTTATTGATATACTGTAACCATTCATAAGATGAATATCTGAATGGTGTCATAATTCCCTATATTAACATACATGTATATATATATATATATATTTCCAATTCGATTCCAAACTCTAAACTCATCTTTTCAAATACCAGTAGGCATATCAATAGTACTAAAGGATATAAGTGATGTTGTAATTTTTTCTCTTTTTAAGAACTCGATTGTTTCCTTATACATGTATGCTTCTGTTTACTCATCTTCCTTTAATGATCTTGTTATATTTTATAAGTATATTGTACAGTGCATTGAAATGTCAACAGACATGAAATGCGTTTTAAAAGAACAAAGTATTATTATTATTATATTATTATGATGTTTCTTAAAGCAAAGAGGAAATCAAGATATTGGTATACAGTGGGTTAAAGAGAAGGTTGAGTTCTGGGAAGAGGTGAAAAATGATTTGTGAGCGTTATCATGGTTATTATGCAAGTGTGGAAGAATATCAGATAAGACTGTTCCCTGAAAAGCATGGCTCTTCAAATGCCTTCTAAATATGTCATGTAACTTTTATACCAAGGCTTGGCCAAATTTCTTATCATTTTGATGATTCCAGAACCTTGCAATACACACAAATTCTTATATGCTAGATGATCAACCTTTTCTGATCGATTCCACACCGTTTCTTTCACAATGCAATCGCATGACCAGAACCCAACTTCATCTTTAAAGGGATCTGTATAATTTGTATCTTTCTTTTAATACAGGAAGCACATCATGGATGATGCGTCCATCATCTCAAAGTTCTACCAGCACTGGCTCAACTTTCTGTTTTACAAAGCATGGAAACGTGGCTTGAAACCTGATGATCTCTTTCCCTGTTCACCTCACGAGAGTGCTAGCCTGAACCACAATAGGTAAAGAGAGACGACTGAGATCAGTTCATTAATTATCTTATCTAATTGTTTAAAAACATACTCTAATGCTCTTTCACAGGTTTCTTTTTCTTCTTCTATAAAGGGGCAAATTATTTTTTACAGTACACAGATAATAATAAGGGTAAACTGCTCAAGTAGATGTCATTTTAAGATGTAGTTTGTTTTTGGATGTACCTTTCATTGTTTGAGAGATATTTCCCTCTGGTAATGCCTACCCCCCAGGGGGGTCACTCCCAACATGACTGGCTACGTACCCGCGTCCAGAACAAGTGGCAAAAGGGCGTCTTTTTCAGCTATACGGCGGCGTTGACGTTTTCCTTAAAAAGGGGTGTTTCTCAAGCACTGATCGCACAAAAACCAAAAAAGGGTACCTTTTCAGGATCACAGGTTTCAACATTTTCTTTAAAAAGGGTCATTTTAGAAAAAGTGCGATACGCCATTAGGGTCCATTTCAGATGTTGATGGATGCGGGTGGGTAGCATTTGTGTATGAGAGTGACCTTCCTGGGGCCTACCCCTCATTGCCTTATATTTTCTTGATCTTATGAATTTGTGTACTTGTTTTGCCATTTAATACTAGAAAATATTTCTGTCTGCAATTTTGTTTAGACAATATGAATTTCCATCATGCAGTAATGCCAGTAACAAGAAATCACCATCAAATAATTCTATTTAATTGGATTAGCTACTTAATCTATTTTATCTATTTCCTATTTCCCCCTTCCCTTTTGCTCTTTCTCTCTTTCTTTCTCTTCCTTTCTCTTCCTTTTTTCCTCTTTCTATCTCTCTCACCCATCTCCTCTTTCTCTTCTAAATCATTCTCTCCTACAATATATATGTATCTTCCTTTCTCTTCCTCCATCTCTTTCCTCCTCTTTTTATCTTTCTCTCTCTCTTCCTATCTCTCTCTTCCTCTTTCTCTCTCCCACTCTTTCTCTCTCTTCCTCTCTCCCTCCCACTCTCTCTCTCTCTCTCTCTTCCTCTCTCTCTCTCTCTCTCTCTCCCACTCTCTCACTCTCTCTCTCTCTCTCTCTCTCTCTTGCAAACTACCCACTCATAGGTTTTCCCAGCTGTGGGACCAGGAGGTTGCCATGAGAGGGCCTAAGATGGCATCAGTGGGCTTGGTTATATTCAGATTCCTGATCTGGAGGGTGCTATTTGGCAGTGTGACGATGCTGGTGGCCCTCATCGTGTCTCTCTTTTCGTCTGTGAGTACTTGCAACTTGGCGCACAATGTTTGGCACAATTTTAATTATGGTGGTGAAGATGAACATGATGACAACAACGATGATGATGAAGATGTTGATGATGATAGTGATGATGAATGATAACGATGATGATCATGGTAATGATAATGATGATGATGATGGTGATGGTGATGATGATGATGATGATGGTGATTCTGACCATGATGACGGCAATGATGATGATGGTGATAGTGATGAAGATGATGATGATGATTGTAATGATGATACAATGTAGTTATGATGGTGATTATGGAGGGGATAACGATTGGCAGTATAATCATCATTAATTTATCTTTTACTTTTTATCATTATTCCAGGCCTTTGTTGTGCGTCGACTCCTGGAATATGTCCAACAAACCGAGAAAGATACCCAATATGGACTGCTCTGGGTGCTTGGGCTGTTGCTATGTCAGTTAACCCAGGTCACTCTACTCTCCTATCAGTTCTACCTCAATACCCGGACTGGGACTAGGCTCCGTGCTGCTGTGGTTTCAACCATCTACCGAAGGGCCATCAGCGTAAGGACCCTAAAGGGCAAATCAGCCGGGGAGGTGAGCGCTATTTCAATCAGGGTGGATGTGGGACGTACACGTCATCCTCTCCCTTGAAGAGTTGTGTTCCAGAAGAATAATACATGAGATGAATGAATTCACAGGAAATTTGTATTTACATTTGTCTGCCGCCAATGGAAGAAGTTGAAGTCTACATTTCCATGTATATCGTATGATAATTGAGGGTAATGTTTTGTGATCTAATACTTTACTTGTTCTTGTGTCATCCTCAATCACATTATTGAATATTGCCTTCCCTGTATCAAGTGTGCAGCTTAAACAGTGCTCATAATTCAATGCACACTTGGGGGCATATATAACTAGCAAGTTTCTAGTAAGGATATATTGACTGCTTTGAGAGGCATAGTGGTTTCTATAGGGTCAAGGGAAACTCACAACCTGCTATGACCCCAAGGCGCTTGCGCCGCGGGGTCATAGCAGGTTGTGAGTTTCCCGAGACCCTATAGAAACAACTATGCCTCGAATATTAAAAGCAGTCAATATATATTTTATATACCGAAAAAAAGGAAAATGTTGACTCACCCATTTTTGCCTCTTTATTGACAAAAAATTGGAAACAAAAAACCCCAGTATTTTGCGATCGAGACTAGTACACAAAATGGCGATCGGTCGTCTGCGCTGCGTGGATTGGTAGATTCGTCGCCTGAATGCAGCGACCAAAATCGAATTGCACTCAAACACCGTTAACGCAGTGGCGGATCCAGGGGTGGGCCAATAGGGCGGGCCGCGGCCGTTTCGGCCCACCCCTGGATCGCGGCCCGCCCTATTGGCGGCGCAAAAAAAATTGAGAAGGAAAAAAGAGCCGGAAGAAAAGAAGAAGAAAAACAAAAGGGAAAAAAGGAGAAGATAAAAGAAAAGAGAAGAAAAGAGAGAGAGTTTTAAAAAAAAGAGGAAAGAAAAAGAAGAGAGGAGCCGGGGAGAAAGAAAGACAACGAAATGGCACAGAAAAAATTAGTGACAGTAACGACGAATAAGTGAAAGACAAGGGAGGGGGGGGGGGTGTGCGTGAAGGCGGATGCATTGAGGGGGGGTGACTGGCCGTATTCATACTTTTAGGTTATGCGAAACTGAGTCGGAATTATGCTTATTTTCAAAAAATCTTAGCATGCTTGTTTATGTTAAGCCGTAGTGCATGAAAAAGGTAAGTGTAGAAACACTTCTGAAAAGGCCGCGCCCGGCCCCTCCAAAGAACGGCAGAATAGTCATCTATAAATTCTGGGGTCATTCCGATGGCTTGGGAGCCGTTATTGAAGTGGGGGCCGGCCCTACTCAAATGGTATTGACGGTAACGATGGATAAGGGAATAAGGAGGAAGGGATGCACATACATGCGCGTACGCATACAACATGACAGAGCTTGAGGGGCCTGGCAGAGCCTTTTCAAGAGAGAAATTGTCTTTAGGAGAGAATAAGAGGTTATTTCTAAAATGAAATGAAAGGGCTCTGATCAAATAGCCTTTCATTTCATTTTTTCTCTCGAAATAAACTCTCTTTCTCTCTTATAAACAATTTTATGAGATGGAATCTTCAATCTGAAGCCTTTTTGTGCTCTTTGAAAATAGCACACTGAATGGGGGCAGTGCAATTTAAATTTCAAGGGATGGATTAGAGTTTTTATCGCTCTTGAAAGTCAAATAGCCCTTTCATTTCATTTAAGAAATAAACTCTAATCAACCCTTGATATTTAAATTGCGCTGCCCCTATTGTGTCCTCTTTTTAAAGAGCACAACAGAGCCCTCAGATTAGGCAGCAAGTAGCAAAACAAACCCTTAACACTAGACACAACATTCAATGGGATGATGCCCACATCATTGAGTTTGAAACGCACTTCTGGTCAAGAATGGTAGAAGAAGCATCTGCATAAAAAGGATGAATCCTTCACTGAATAGGGATTCTTGCTATACACTTTTACCTTTGTGTAAATAATAAAAGGTCCACGGAAGTGGTTGTTAGAAGCTTAAACAATATACATAAAACTCTCTCCAATTTTGCAGGGGAAGAGCCTTTGCCAGGAGTCTTTAATAATAAAAGGGATAAATCCTTCACTGAATAGGGATTCTTGCTATAATATGTTACCTTTCTTCGCTCCAGTGATCTCGAGGCAGCAGACAGCAAGAAATTGTGTAAAAAAAATTCTGTAGTCGGGAGTCTTGCATGGGGCGGAGCCCCAGGAAGTTCTTGAAGTTCTTGAACTTTTTTTAGGAAATTCAAAATAGTCGTCATTAGCGATAGAAATTGTAATTTTCTTCTAGAGAGTCACATAGCCCCTTTCATTTCATTTTAGAAATAACCTCTCTTTCTCTCTTAAAGACAATTTCATGTCGAGCCAACTCAGTCGGAAATGTAATCTGTAGGCCTAAGTGTAAAGTTAAGTTTCATGTTCTTCCTTATTTTTTTCCTTTCTTTCTCTCTCTCTCTCTCTCCCTCTCTCTGTCTCTCTCCTTTTCCTCTACCTTCTTCTTTTTTTTATAACATTATTCTCTCTTTTCTTCTAATTTTTATGTGTGTGACATGCGTTACACGTACGTCTATCAATGTCTAAAAATGGTAGATTTACATTTTCATGTATCCCTTTGTAGGTGCACCATATATTCCAGAAAGTGCCCTATTTTGATGGTGCCCCCCCCCCCTATGTATTGATCTCGATAAAAATAACTTTCTCATTAATTCTATTTCCCATATTTCTAATACTTGCACTAATCTCAAATTTTAAAAAAATCATCTACTTTCTCTCAAGACAACATTATATAAAGGATTCATTAATGCAAGGCTATCTCGCGAGTCATCTCTCAATTTCTAACTTCTTGCTTTCCTCATCTCCCAGTCTCCCTTGCTTTAATATTCCTCGTTACTTCCTTCCAATTGAACTCCAAATTAATTGATTTTATACACTGTATCTATTCTTCAACTACAGGTACATGTAGATGCAAATGTTACTCAAAATCCATTCTATAAATCAAACTCAGGATACAGCCAATTGACGAGAATTGCTTCAAACTATATTTTACATGTATCATTAATATATGGTTTTACAATGGCTATGGTGATGAGTTGTCTAGGTAATATGTTGATGTGTTTGTTTTAATGTATTACCATGGTGCACCTTCTTGGTTAAAAAAAATATGTGTATGTATTAACGTAAGTTCGTGCCTTTACATACCACAGTAGATTCCAATGTATTATATTTGATGCAGAATAATATTAATATTTGAAGATTAGAAACACAAACAGTTTCCATAACCGTTCAAGTGTTTCAAGAAAAAGTTAAGCAAACTTTCTCCTGGATGTAAATTCACACTAGCGAGCTTTCCGATCCAGGCTAGACTCTACGCGAGCGGTTTCATTGGAATTAATCGAGAAATTCCCCTCGCTAGCGTGTAAATAAAAAATACGCCGGCAGTGACGGTAACGATGGATAAGGAGGAAGGGGTGCATACGTGAACTGCAAGCGTATAGGAGATGATCATCATTTTAGGGTGTGCAATCTGGGTCGGATTCCAGGATAATATATTCCTAAAAAAGAGGATCACATAAAAGCACTCATGATAAAGCCGCGCCCGGCCCCTACAACATCATTTTGGATTTTTAGATGATGGGGCGGATGGCAGGGGTAGGGGGCAAAGTTCCCCCACTTTTTCAAGTACCCCCAAATTGCCACTTTTACTTTGTAAGAAGTGTCCCTTCCCCTTTTCAGAGCTACCCCTTTTTAACTCGGATAAGCGCACATTTTATCAACACATGTGCCCCCTTTCCTTTCTGATAAGGGCTATTTAGAAAAATGAGGCCCTTCATAAAAAAGTGTCCCTTTTCATTCTCATAAGTATCCCTTTTCATCTCTGGTAAATAACTTTTTTCATATACGAGAAGTTAATTCTTTTCACTTCAGTGCGCTCTTCACCTCCGATAATTGCCCCTATTCAAATCTGAGAGATACTCGTTTTACTTTGAAAAGTACCCCTTCCCCTCCTGATAAGTACTCTTTTCATCTATGATGGGTGCCCATTTTCACCTCTGCTAACTGCTATTTTATTTTAAATCGTGCCCCTTTTCCTTTCTAATAAGGGACCTATCCCCTTTTCATAAATGCCCCTTTTCACCTCTGATAAATCAATTTCTGATGGATGCCCCTTTTCCGTCGACAAATGCCCATTTCCCATACTCATAAGTGCCCTATCTCATTTTTGGTGAGTGCCTCCTTTTAGGTGTAAGAAGTGCCCCGTTTGAACCTTTGATAATTACTCTTTGTACTTTGACACATGCTTCTTTTCTTTTCTAACATGTGTCTTTATCACTTTCGATAAGTGTCCCCTTTACCTCTCCATCATTAGTCTTGCACCTAATTTAAAGCGACTAAGAGTAATTTCCCCTAAAGCTCGCTCGCTCGCATTTATAGATGATACAATTACATGTCACTTAACAAAGGTCTTTTCAGTCTTCCGTTACGAGAATGTGCTTGTAACCCCATCATGATTTGGTTTTTTCCTCTTTATAAGATGTAATTTTTCACTCTGCGACCTCACAGATCTTACATTTTTTTCTCGCTCGCTTTGCTCGCTCGCAAATGAATATTCAAACAATCACACCCAACCGAAAGTGTGATGCTTAAGCAATATCTTGTATAATTATAAAGAAAAACAAATATGGAAATCGTCCCTGATAATGGAATCACAGTGAAGGGGTATATACCAATGTCTAAAAAAATGTATATTTTCGCTTTGAGATTTCGCTTTGTAGGTGCCCTTCTTTGTTGGTGCTTTCCACTTTGGAAATAGCTCCGCCGCCCCTGCTTACCCATTAGCGCCCGGACGCGCCAGCATTAATTTCGCGCTTGCGCGCAAAGGGGGTGTCTGTGGGGGGGATGTCCTCTCTATCTCTGAAGCTGAATTTTTTAACTGGATTCGTGCGATTCGGTTAATACTTTTAGAGGGAGTCTGAGGGGGTGTCCTCTCTATCTCTGAAGCTGAATTTTTTAACTGGATTCGTGCGTTTTGGTTAATAATTTTTTGGGGCGTCTGATTTCATTTCAAAACACCTGCAGTCAATGCGGGATGGGGTTGCAGCCTCTCTTTCCCCGAAAATTAAAAAATTACTAATATGCATTTTTTTATATCTTATCTCGTATATTTTGGTGACAAATAACACTTTCACAACATACATAATTATGCTCAAATTTCCGCTCGCCAAATTATGAAACCAGGAAATAGATATTGGAGCAAGAGGCTTCACCTCCCACTGATGGAAATGTCAAAAAAATTGCGCGCGAGCATAACTTGAAAACGGGTAATGTTGATATCGGACAAGAGACGTGACGTGAGCATGTCCCCTTTCCAAAATTGTGCCCGCTTGTAGGTACCAGTACACTAAGTACAGTGCTTCTAATATGACCTTGTCAGTATTGGTAAGTTGAAATAACGGTCTGCGCGATTTTCGAATTTCCGGCCCCCCCTATTGGAAAATCCTGGATCCGCGCCTGTAACGGTATTGCGCATCGGTCATCGCACAAAAGAAACTTATACGGTAACACGTAAACCAAAATGGGGATCGCAGCAAAATGACGTCACGTTTCACAGCCATGGAAAAAGTGCTATGAAAAATGGATATAAACCGGTAGAGCCGGGAAAAATGACTATGAATTTCAATTAGCGGGCATGGTTAAGAACATGACTGCATTTTCAACCAATCAGAAGACAGGATTAGTAAAGAATCTTAAAATGAGGTATATAACAAGTTTTAGAGGTGGTTATTATACCTGACTGCTAAGAAAGCATAAATGCTTGTTAGTAAGCAACCAGAGGACTGATGGCTGTAGGTCCTCTCCGAGGGACCTGGTAATGAGAATTAATGCCTTACTAAAGGGCATTAGCGCATCAACTTGGTTTCGAACCCGGGTCACCAGATTACGAGACCACTGCTCTACCAACATAACATATTATGCAGTCAGTGTCACATGATTGCTTGTCAGTCAATTGGAAACTCTCTAACAACTATTTGATGTTTCATTTCATTTCATTTTAATATTTGTTTATTTTATTTCAGATCATCAATCTATGTACAAACGATGGTCAGAGGTTGTATGAGATGGGTCTATGGGGTCCAACCCTACTCTGTGGACCACCTATAGCCATAGCTGGTATTATTTATACCTATTTCCTGATTGGACCATCAGCTCTGTTTGGAACTGGCCTTTTCTTCATGTTCTATCCCATAACAGTAAGCAAGCAGTTGCGTCAAGTATGTGTATATGCGTGTGTGTGTGGGTGGGTGGGTGCGTGTGTAATCGTGTTCTTACAGGTGTGTATCAATCAGAAGACTTATGTTTGTGGGCTGACCTTTAAATGTACTACATGTATGTCACATTTGCAGCCAACATGGTTTGAGAATCTTTTCAGGATTTTTTGCATGTTAGAGGGTTAGTATGTAGTAAAAGGAATATAATAAGTAACATTTTGTACAAAAATGACACATTTTTTCATCAACCTCCAACAATGTAACTGAGTCACTTTAATATACAGTATGCAGTATTACTTATTTTAAACTATAAAGTCTAATCAAGGAAGAGATATATACTAGTCCTTTGGTTCTATCACAGTGCCGTGAAATTATTATTTTTAAATTAAATATGCATTTTACATTCCTGACATGTATTTTCATGCCGCTTTATTTTCCTAAGCTACCTTTCCAATATTTTGTTTGTTAGTTGGGGATAGTCAAACTAGTTGCTTACTTCAGACGTCAAGCCATTCACATCACACTCAAATGAGTCATGAAAGCATTCATTCTCTAGTATCAAACTAATTAAAGATGAAGTTGAGTTCTGGTCATGCGATTGCATTGTGAAAGAAACGGTGTGGAATCGACCAGAAAAGGTTGATCATCTAGCATATATTAGAATTTGTGTGTATTGCAAGGTTCTGGAATCATCAAAATGATAAGAAATTTGGCCAAGTCTTAGTAAAGTTACAAACACTGTACACAGAAAGATGTATATGGGACTACACGAACATGTGGCGTAAAAATCCTACCCCCGAGTTTTACGATGTTACATGACATATTCAGAATATGAAGGCATTTGAAGAGCCATGCTTTTCAGGGAACATGTCTTATCTGATGTTCTTCCACACTTGCATAATAAGAATGATAATGCTCACAAATAATTTTTCACCTCTTCCCAGAACTCAAACTTCTCTTTAAGTGAAATGCATATACTTTATCTTTGTTAGATGGGGATGGCCAAACTAGTTGCACACTTCAGACGTCAAGCCATTCAGATTACTGATAAGCGAGTCCGATTGATGAACGAGGTCATCTCTAGTATCAAACTCATCAAGATGTATGCCTGGGAAATGCCTTTCTCTCAAAAAATATCCAGTAAGTAAAATGTTTAAACTCTTGTTCACTATTCAATGCAAGTGTGTACGCATTAGTAAACTAGTCTACTCAACAAGATGATCTACTCTTCTTGGAGAATGTATTTCATTTTATTTCATTTGGAATTTCTCTCTGTAGAAGTACTATTTGAAGCTCATATTTTGAAGCTCATATTTTTAATTAGTATCTAGTTGTACTTTGGTGTTTAGTATAATTTTATGTCTATATAATTACATTTCATCAAGAGCATGAGGTTGAATTGAATCTTGAGGATTGATCTTTAATGCTTGAATCTTTCTTTTTCCAGATATGCGTGGAGAGGAACAGAAGGCTTTGCAGAAGGGAGGTTACATGCAGAGTTTGAGTACAATGTGCTTGCCGTTGGTCCCGGTCTTATCAACTATGCTTACCTTGGTCCTACATACATCTCTAGGAAACAATCTTACGCCAGCTCAGGTAATGGACAGGTCTAAAATGGAAATACTTAGGTCTTTATTCTGTTGAACCTGATAATGGGTTTAAGCCACATGCAGAAGAGAGGTTACATAGAGAGTTTTAGTGCCCCTGCCATTGGTCTGGGTCTTAGCAACTATGCTTATCTTGGTCCTACATACATCTTTAGGAAACTAACATCAGCTTGGGTAATAGCCAGGGCTGTTGCTGGGTATAACCCACATGCAGAAGAGGGTGTGTGTAATTGGGTTTTTTGCAGCCGTGTATCAATCAGATATGATTATTTATATCTGGAGACTGACCTTTAACGTGGCCATCCGAAGCCTGTTCATGTATATGCCTGTATTCCTAACTAATACTTCCTAAATTTTGTTCTTTCATTGTCAGGCTTTTTCCTACATCTCGTGTCTGACTGCCATGCGTATCATTCTTGTGATGACTCCGTTGGGTATCAAGGCTGTGTCTGAATCCGTAGTGGCCTTTCCACGCATCAAGGTAATGTGTATAATGACAATACATGGAGATGTAATAATGACATTCAGAGACACTAATACTTGGTTTGCATTAAATTGATTAAATTGCTTCTCTACATATGATATTACACATGCTCTGCTCCCTGGTGAGTATTGAAGCCGGGTGCCTCCTTATAATTGCGCACTTGTGCTAGTCCAACCACATTATTAACGTTCACTCACATCCTACTGGATACCCATCAACAAGTGGTGTTAAAACCCCTGGTTGGAGAGAGGTACATGTAATGTGGATAAAATACTGTGCTTATTAAGTGTAAGTGCCATGCCGGGATTGAACCCCCGACCTTTACATTCAGGGCTCATATTAATTTTTTGTCCACGGGGGCTCTTCCAAAAAAAAAAGAGCCCCCGTGAGCCTTCTCATGAGGGCTCTTTTAGTGCTGACGGGGGCTCTTATTTTAATACAAATTTCCATTGAATTGGTACCCATGAAATTCCTTGGTATTTTATCACTATCATTTATTTAAGTCAGCATTTTCCCTCTTTTTTTCTTGTTACATAGCTGTTATTGACTTTTATCCCCGTAATGACATTCTCTCCATTTCTTCCCGTTCTGCACATAATGTCCTCCTCATTATTCGGAGCAACCTTATTTACATTCTTTCTATACTTTTAGTCTTTACCATATCTTTCCAAAACACAGGGGCGGATCTAGCTTTTTGCTAAGGGGGGGGGGGGGGGTAACCCAAAAAACGATGTGGAGCATCGTCCACGAGCCGCATAGCGGCGATGCGATTTGTTGGTGCTATTATGAACCCCCGTTAGGGATGTTTTCCAGGCATCTACTAACATGCAGAGCATGGTCCACGAGCTGCAAAGCGGCGAGGCAATTTTTTGGTGCTATTTTGAACCCCTGTTAGTGATGTTTTCCTGGCATCTACTGACATCTATTACTACTGTGTAGGTCTGGACACATGATAGCATTTTTCTATGCACATCACATTTTTCACTTGGCAGCCCAAGGGGGAGGGGGGGGGGGGGGGGTTAAACCCCCTTAACCGCCTACATGTAGATCCGCCCCTGCAACATCTTTGCTGATCTTCTTCTCAATATTCATTTACTGGTCGAGTTACATTATTTGCTGGTCTTTTAGAATAGCCTGATTTAAGAGGGATTCACACTTTTCACAACGAAAAACTTCTCCGTGTTTCAGTCCTTGCGCAATCGTCTCCAGCTCCACCAGATATTGGGCGCCAGCGTGCACACGGGTACTACCGGCGCAAGTACGTACTGCTGACGGCCGCATTAGCTGCACTGCGAGCTTCCGTTGTTTGTATCGGTAATACTCATAGAGATGGGAGAGAAAGTGCCATCTAAGTTCCATTTCATTGGTTTAAGGTTTGACAATTTATACCTAATATTGTGTTAAAGTTATATCAGAAAAGAAAATCTTTATTTTATAATTCCACAGGGGCGAATTTTAATTTTGCAATCGTCCCTGTGAGCAACCTGACGGGGGCGATTAGGGAGCTCACGGAGGCGAATCGCCCATCGCCCCCGTGTATTTTGAGCGCTGTTTACATTTCCAGGCAAGTGTTTAAACCCCTTGACCTTGACACCTACTATGGCTTCCAACAGCAAAACAGAAAAGAAAAAAAGAGGGAAGTCTTAAGGGAAAACAAGAGAAAGAGAGAGAGAGAGAGAGAGAGAGAGAAAAGGAATCAGATTGCACTTGGAAGAAGGTATAAATACAAAGTGGATAGTTCTCGATCAACACAGGAATAAAAGGAACAGGAAAGTTCTTTATTTATATTTACGTTTACCCAAACTCCATGTTCTCTTTCAACATGAACAGGAACTCCTTCTCATGGAAGACATCAAACCCTTCACCAACAAACCGTCCTCCTCCGACCATGCCCTGGAGATCGTCAAGGCAACGTTCGCTTGGGACAAGGAACAGGCCGTGATTGCCGCCGATGGTAAAGGTCTTGCAAGCAAGGACAAGAAGAAGAATGGAGATGAGAAGGAGAAGAAGGGAGAGGTGAAGGGTGGGGCCGATCAGGGAGAGGGTGAAGAGTCCGCGATGCCTCTGGTTGATGGAGATGAACCGAAGGCTGAGGATCAGGAGCAGAATGACGAGATTGTGAACACGCTTTTTGATATCAATCTGGAGGTTGGAAAGGTGTGTAAAAGTGGAGTAACTTTTATCTCTTTTTTTATTTTTAAAAATCCTGTCTGTACTAGTTTAGCCAGGAGGGATTAGACCACCCAGCATGGTCACTGACAGGTGGTTATCTCATCAACTTAGCTCTCAATTAGCATAAGAAAAAGAGGATCATGGGGGACCAACAGGCACCGCTTAGGCATTGTTTTCTATAAAGAGGGAGCAAGTAGCTACAAGTAGTGCAGTGGGGCTTTAAATATTAACTTTTTTATAAAACCCCTAAACTGTGGTAACATGATTTGTATATCCCAAATCATTGATTTTCGTCACTCTTGACAATGGTTGTTAAGTTACCAAAGTAAGAGCACACAATTGTTCAAATGTATTTAAGGTATCTTTGCTTCAGTCATACGTACATACAAAGAATTTTGAATGAAAACAACCAGGTCCTCTGCCCTAAGAACAAAAGAAAGCATCTCTCGTAACTAACAAGATGCAGGGTCGTAACATAGCAATTGTATGTAGTAGCGAAGAAAATAACATTGACATGAAATTGTATTAAAAAAAAGACAAAAATGATTAGTTCACCAGTGTTAAAGGTCCAGCTACAAAATGTGAATTGTCAAATACATATTTACGGTTGATTGATACACCTACATAGGCATACATGTACATGCATCTCATAATCAACAACGTTTAGGAAGCAGTGATTTGGTATGTTGGAGACAATATCTTTTTATTTTAAAGGTAATATGCTTTTCCCATGGTTTTGATTCTAAAGCTCTGTCATACTTCTTAAGACAATTAAGAGATTGGACACCTCATTGATATTCCAAGGGACTAGAATTGTACACATGTACATGGTTGGAAAATACTTGTTGATGATTAATATGAAAAGCATTACCCATATGTCTTTGTCTTTGTTAATTGTAAGGAAAAATTGTTCTCATTTTTGTTTTGTTTGTTGTTAATCTTATTAGTTTCTACATGTATGCTTATACTTTACTGTATGCTGTACATTTTCAATCTGGTCCTGTTATACTCTCATCTTATCCTAATTTAAAATTTTCATTTCCATTTTTTTGTGTAGGTGGCAGCATTGATGAGGCATTTCCTTTCTAGCTGTCTCCTCATTCTCATAAATTCTCACTTTTCCCTTTATTTTGTCCAAATTAGCTTTATGTTGTATATTACATGTGTATGTTATCTTGTCTGTATATGATTTTGTCTGTATATACTATGCGATATTGTATGTTATTTTATCTAAATGTTTTTAAGATGGATGAAAATGAAATTTGACTATCGACTATCTATGACAGGATTCTCTGGTAGGCGTCTGCGGTAGCGTAGGCAGCGGCAAGTCATCCCTGATCAACGCCATCTTGAGTCACATGATTCACGTAGACGGATCAGTGGCTGTCGATGGCTCGTTTGCATACGTACCACAGCAGGCATGCATCCTCAACATGACGCTACGAGAGAATATTCTCTTTGGACTGGAGTTTGACGAGGATCGCTACGTGGATGTGGTAGAGGCGTGTGGTCTTGCCCCTGACCTGGAAATACTAGCAAATGGTGACCTGACAGAGGTAGGAAGGACATCAGGGTTGTCAAGCAGTTCAATGAGTGATTTCAAATTGGGTGCTAGTGTTAGTGTTAGTGTTTAGAGCAGTTAAGAGCTCTTAAATCGAGCTAAAAATTTGCTGATAAAATTAAGAGCCCGATACAGATATCAATAGCTGCCACTAACACAGAACTGGAAATCAACATTTGCTTAATCCATAGGGGCTAGTTTTAGTAAACAAGAAATTTGTACTTAAAATATCAACACTAGCCACAAAGGTCGGTTCAGCAGACAACAATTTTGAGAAATCAATAACACTAGCTACCGGAAGCTGACAATATTCAGAGGTCAAAGCCATAACACCAGATGATTTCCATTTTGGTGTTTAGGGCTGGTGTTAGTTTTTATTAAACACTAACACCAGCCCTAAATACCCAACTTGAAACCACTCAATGCATTTATTTGTGATTTACTGTACTGAGAATCCAACTTCATTATGGTTGCAACAGAACATACAATGCACAAACTGCATTAGGGCAAGATTCCTTGTATATATACATGTACATGTGACATGTATTGTATGTGTGTGTATTTTCCAAAGAATGTTTCCTAGATTTTATAGCGGTGAGTCTTCATTATCTCCCTATACCAAGTGAATATATATTTTCAACTTTGATTTCTCAATGCAAACAAATTTGTAGTTGAAACTGTACTACTCTTTACTTTCATGCAGCTAGGAGAATAAAACAAAACCGAACCTTCTCTTACCACTGATGAAGTACTCACTTTATTGAAATAAATTGCTTTTACACAATTATATGTTCCATCCTTCGTTGGATTAATTTAAATCCTCCCTAAAAACATTCCTTTTTAATTTTTCCTGTTAGTCCGTAGCTTTTAAGGTCATACTCTTGTTTATATTCATGGTACACAATTGCCATAATTTGAATTTGCATGTTTTGGCCTAAAAATTAATTGTATTCTATTGTATTTCAATGTATTGACTGGATGTATCTGTGCTTATATATTTTGAACTAATGTAGGTTGATTTAATAGTATATAATAATTATAGTTTGTAAATATGATATTTAATGTACTACATGTATTATCTGAGAATCTTCATTTGTTTTTAAAGCGCTTAGAAACATATTGTATTATAAAGTGCTTCAGAAATACAATGTATTATTATTATTACTATTTATGTTTCTTTGCGTTCCTTAGATTGGAGAGAGGGGGATCAACCTGAGTGGGGGTCAGAAGCAGCGAATCAGCATGGCGAGGGCAGTATACTCTCAGAGAGACATTTATCTGCTAGATGACCCTCTGAGTGCTGTGGACGCCCACGTGGGTCAACACATCTTTGAGAATGTGATCAAGAAACTACTCAAGGGCAAGGCCATCATCTTTGTGACACATCAACTCCAGGTACGCCGCTGCTGGTCATTTAGCTAAGCCAAGATAGAATTTATGGCACTAGAAATTCATTTCTTTTGTTGAAGCTGCAAGTGTCTATACAAGTATAGACCTTGTTTAGACATATTTGTGGCTTACACCCAGAGATAAGATCGATTGATCGATCTGTAACTGATTTTTTTTTTTCCCCCTTTTTTTTTCTGACTTGTTTTCAATTACAGATTGATCAATCGATCTTATTTACTGGGTGTAAGCCACAAATATGTTTAAACAATTGAAATTTCTCCCAGGAAGCATTACATTCACGGGTATATAAAGCTTAGACCTATGTCTATACTTGTATAAACAATGCACTTTCAAGTAAATACTGTAGACCAGCAAGAGGCTTTTACAAATTGTAAATTACAGCAAATCTTTCCACGGCAAGAAACTTTCAAGAATCACAAAGATTTGGTGACGTTTTTTTTGTGTGATTTAATTTTTGTGGTATGAAATTTACCAGTATCTTAACCACTTGGGAAATTTGTCTAGTTCTACAGTATTCAAGAGAGGGACTTTCTATTCATCTTCGTATTATTTTGAAGGCATTTCCGCTGTTTAGGAGGTCAACCTCTTGGTTCATTTTTTTCTTATTTCTGGGTTATAGCTGTAGCTATAAAGGTTTTGTAGGATCGATTGATGACCTAAACAAAGGGCTATATATTTCTGGAACACTCCTAGAGATAGAATTTCCTGTACTGTAATCAGAAATCTTGTATCCTGTGGTCGAGTAGATATGTCACCGGATTGTGGATCACAAGGTCCCCGGTTCAAGTCCCGCCGCGGCACTAATGTCCTTAGGTGAGACATTGATCTACATTTGCCACTCTCCACCCAAGTGTTAAATGGGTACCCGGTAGAATGCGAAAGTTAATGTGGTTAGATGAGCAAGTGTGCGTTTGTAAAAATGACGCCTGGCCGGAATGCTCCCTAGGGAGTGGAGAATGTGCATACATTGTGTGCAGGTAAGCCTGAATCCAATGACCAGGGTAATAATAAATCTGTAAAGCGCTTTGAGAGGGACTGCGGTCCTGAAATGCGCTATATAAGAACAAACTATTATTATTTTCATTATCCTTCCCCTTTTGATCCCAGTTTCTCAGTCATTGCGATCGCGTGCTCTTCATGAAATCAGGTCGCATCTTTGCGGATGGGCCCCACAACACTCTGATGAAGAACAACCCAGAGTACAACGCACTCCTCCAGAACTTCATGCAGGAACAGGATATGAGAAGGAACTCAGTCAGCTCGTCCAAGGATGGAGGCCGCGCCCGTGTGCTCTCGTCCATCTCGCTGACCTCCCTGGACTCCAGGCAGCGGTCAGAGAGCTTCCGTGCCTTGACCCAGACCTTCAGGGGTCGGTCCAACCAGATGTTACGTCAGGTCTCTGCCCGTTCCACCCACTCCATCCCGGAGCAGACACCCCTTCCCATCCAGGAGGCAGGGACAGACAAGATCAAGCAAGCTGGTAAGCTCCTAAGGGTTCTTTAATTGACTAATGGGGCATTGCAAGAAAGTTGCGATTGATTGCAAGTTGCACAATTTGCAACTGATATTTGCAATCATTTGCAATTCAACTTTCTTGCAACGCCCCATGGCATTGGTCTCCTAAATTTTCTTTAGAATTTGTTTGGATTAAAGTGTTAACAATTAAAGGAAGTTAACTAGATCTAGCTTTTACTCTTCCCCTCTCTCTCTCTCTCTCTAGAAAATTGAGGTGCGATCAATTGCAAATTTGCAATTAATCGCAAGACTTACGTTTGATTTGGGGGATTTGCAATTGATTGCAACTTTCTTACAATGCCCCATTAGACTGTTTTAATTCAGGTAAGGTTCGTTCAGATACGTTTTGGCAATTGTGTGCAACAAAATTCCTGCACAGATTCACTGATCTTTGTGTTATGAGATACAGGAATGGGAAGTGTATTACACTTTATGTCATCATAAAAGAAACGCAGCAGTTTTGCTGCGTCATATCTGGAAAAGGGTTTCATTAGTTTAAAGGTGCAACATGAGTTCATTTAAAGGCTTTCAAAGAAGGTAACTCGGAGGTCACTTTTCACTGTGTCTACAAATACTGTTTATACATGCAGTTATTTAAAAAAAAAAAACGTATTATGTGATACAGGATAAGTGTATGATTTTGTGTTATGCACTGTTACATGACTTGTGTAAGGTAATCTTCAAAAGATAGAAAACATCCCTTGAATCCAGAGCTGTACATGTATTGAAAGCAATTTATTAATTACTTTAAGATTTGATTATTTCATCATTGAACTTTGTTTTCTTTCAGTTAACTTTTTCTTTAAACCCATCATGATGTTATGTTTTGTAAATTACAGGTGTTTTCTTTCATTTTCTAAAGACCTGATTATCAGGAACGCCATGAAGAATAAGATGCCAAAATTGAGTTTGTAAATTCCTAGCATTTCTGTCATTCAGTACACTTTAATTCCTTTCTCATGAGATCTCTTGCCTTCAATTTTCATGCTGCTTCTTGTCCAAGCAAAGAAAACTTCTTCTGAAAAAGCATGTCATTATTTTGATGTTCTTGCTTTATGCTCTCTTTCTCTGATTATGATTTCAAGATTTGCTTATGCTTTTTTTTTTTACAAGCAGACGACCAAACCGACGGTGCTGATTACCTGCCAGTGTTTGAATGTGAGTTGCTTAAGTTTAAGTTTGTACTTCATCTGATTGAAGCATTAGAGTATTAAAGACGAATACATTTTGAAAGCAGCGTTTTCTTTCATCCTAAATCAGGCATTTGAACAGATACAGGTGTAGGACATATAAAAATTGTGCCATTTAATTATAAGATTCATATTCCATGCCAGGAAAATTCATGAAACCAATGCAAACATTCTTGTATCTCCACATTAGAAATTTTGTGAAGTATATATTACCTTCCACTGCTCTTTTATATCTCCTGCTAGTACATCCTTTTATTTAATGTATATAAACAAATGCAATATAATTCTTTTTTATTGTCATTATGGTCTGATTTATTTACTATTGTACATGTCAATATACATCTCTGTAATTTTGTAAATTGACCCTTTTAGGTTTGTGCTGCTGATTTATCATTATATACAGTACCAATAAATAAATAAATAAATAAATGAAAAATATGCATGAATTATCCAGAAAAGGATGTTCTTGCTGATGTTATCATTTTTATCAATCAAAACAAAATGAAAAACAAAGCGCCTTGTCTTTTTCAGAATCGTGGGTGTGAATTGTCATTTAAATTTGAAATGATACCATTTGTGTTACTTTGCTGAGGTTTCATGTAGTAGCTGTATCTTATTTTTGTAAAGATGAAGAACATGATTAGAATACAAGGATTTCTTTACATCTACATACCACATTTATCATGGATATAAAGTGACTTGCAATTATCATGCCTACATGTATATTCGCAAAAGCATACATTTGCGTCGCGCAGCTTGGTGACTTTTTTCTTTCTAATTTTGCGCATCTTTAAAGGTCCCCCTCCCCCTGGTATTATATACCTTCCAAATACCCCAGCCTTATTGGGGTTAAGACCATGAACAACATACATTTACATATTGCAAATAAAATATTACTTTTATATTTTAATATCAGAACTTGCTTCTATACAACAAATGTTCTATGAGCTGTGTAAATTGTGCCAAAAGAGAATATCATTTACCATTTAAAAAAATTATATGTTACATTATCATTCATTTGAAATCAAAGTGAAACTCACATGAGTCAGCTGGAAAATCAAGATTTGTATTTAACAATTCCATGTGCATAGCTTATGGACCTTTTCATTTTGTAAGACAAATTTTACATTGGTATCAGAATTTTTTGTCCAATCATACGTTCCTGACATTTATCAATCATGATTATTTCCAAAAGTCAATTTTAGACTTTGCAGAATCATGATTAAAGAAACTAACTATCCTACAACAACGAATTTGAGGACTTTTAGCCTTTTAAAAACAAAGTACTGGTACATATCTTTGGGACGGTACGCTCATCATACATGCCATTTCTATCATTTTGTACCTTTTCTCTGTTTTTGAGTTGCTACCTTGACCAAATCTCTTCATCTTCTTTCAATGCATGCCATTACCATTACAAAATGACATCAACACTGAATAGCAAGTGAAAACATTAGAAACGAAAAGACGGATGGAGAGAGCGAAGAATCCGATAGTCAAAATGAAGAATGGGAAGAAGAAGAGGATGATGATGAAGAAGAAGAAGAAAATAGAGATGCTACTATGATGTATGATGGTTAGTAACACTCAAACACTCACTTTTGTCGCACAATCATTTGCAATCGTTTCATTTTCTCTGCTGTTTCATGTCTCATGCAAATATATACATGTGTGCATTTAGTTTTCTTCCATATTCACAATACAAGTGTTCATGCAGTGTGTAGTGTAGCCTCAGGCAAATTTGGTCCTCTTTCATGATCATGAATAGTTGTTCTTCAATTAACTTCATTCAAAATATCATCCTTATTTTTCTAACCTTTCATAAAGATGAAGAAAAAATTTCTTTGCATCATTTTATTTTTAAATAGATCTATGTAATGATACTACACCATTTCTTCTTTTATGCACACTTACATATTGCTATTAATAATATTTATTCTCAAGTTAGCTTGCTGTGTAACCCCTGGTGTTTGTGTTGCTATATGAAAAGTACTTAATATTTACTCTTTAATCATTTTCCTTCTTCAAACATTGATTGCCTCTCTCTTACTCTCTCTCTTTTCACCTTTAACAAAAATACAGAAACAAATGTTTTGCAAGGAAAAATGTATGAAATTTAAGCAGTTTTGCCAAAAGCTCCAACAAATTGAATTGTGCTTTGTATCATACTCAAGTTCAATATTTATCCTACATGTGTTGCATGTACCGTAATTAACGTTGTATAAACCGCCCTCGTGTATTAACCGCACCCCTCTTTTTCACCCTTTAATTTTTTATTTTTTTTGCCGACTTTTTTTGCCGGGTCCGTGATAAAAAACCCACGCGGGAAGGCCTTTCATTTAACTGCGAGGTGCAGCTGAATGTGTAAGATCATTAATGTGAATTTAAAAAACAGTAGAGGACCTAGGATAGGACCTTGTGGTACACCATGTAATAGAAGAAAAATTGGAGGAATTATTGTTATAAACTACATATTGAGATCAATCAGAAAGATTAGTTTCAAACCAAGATGACAGACAAATTTGAGTGTTGTTTTAGTGTCCGATAGGTGAGTCAACACACCGATTACTGAGCTGGGAGACATTGCCAGGCATAGCGCCATAAATCGAAACTTTATAAAAAAAACAATTTTTTTTTTTTTTGGTGTACCGTGTATAAACCGCACCCCCGACTTTGAATTTTTTTCGGCGGCAAAAAGGTGCGGTTTATACACCGTTAATTACGGTATATTGATATTAGAATTATTAGTACCGTATTATGAGATATAATTTCATCATTATACTCTGTAACATTTATAATTTACAAGAAGCTCAGAATTCTTGAAAAAGCTACACTTGATGCAATAAATCAAATAATTAATTAACCTATTTGTAGCCAGGCTATAATAATAGGGCAATCCAACATTTTGTCAGAAGTTGAATTGTATGAAAGTAGAAAATATAGAGATACAGGCTGATGAAAGTTTGAAAAATGGAAAAATAATAAGAAAGTCATAAATGCTTAAAGATGAGATCACAATAGTCTTTGTGAATCTAAAACTGGTGAATTGATTGGTCATTTGTCTGTGACATAATTGGGTACAACTCTCCCATTTATTACTTGAATCTCCAGGGACCTGTTTCACAAAACTGTTCATCAGTGACAAATGACCGTTTTTGTTATAAGCTACTGAAATCCTTGCTTCTGATTGGTTATCAGTAGATTTGTCACTGATTTTTGTCATTTGTCCTTGAAAAATGGCTTTGTGAAACTGGTCCAAGTTCTTACCATCCGTGGTCTACTGAACATACATCACATGATATTGTGGATATCATTGTCTGCCAAGAAGTATTAAATGTTACTCTGTAATTAGATTTACAAACATTCTATGCAAGTTATTTGTAGGTATGAGCAAATGGGAGAGAGCTGTCATGACTAATTTGCCAATTTGAAATTCCCATATGTATAGTGGTCTCACAGGGACATGTTAAAGATAAAGACCAGTTATGGTCATGCGTTTATTGTGAAGAAACGTTGTGGAATCGATCAGAAAAGGTTGATCATCTAGCATATAAGTATTGGTGTGTACTGCAAGGTTCTGGAATCATCAAAATGATAAGAAATTTGTCCCAGTCTTCGTAAAGTTACAAGCACTGTACACAGAAAGAGTATATGGGACTACGCACAGGTGTGCGACACGTGCGTTTATCTCTCACAGTCCAATAGATAAACTAATTTACCAAATACCTGTATATCAATTAGTAGGTGGTTTCCCGGCAAAATTTGTATCATCATGTACATGTACATGTACATGTATTAGTCAAAACATATTCTTTCACATGATTGGTAATAAGAGCTTCTATTTCATTTTTTGAAATTGGGGCGTTTCCAATACTGGTCTTTACCTTTAATTAAAAGAAATAAATACTAATTTCAGGTTCTGTTCAAACTTCTTTAGCCTGTTTATTTCTCTGACTGTTTAATTTCCCTGCTGCTTTTCTGCATTTAATCATAAATGTGGATTTCATATTTAAGCCATTCATCTTAACTGTTAAAAAATAAACGTGGTAGCTTTTTTACGTTGGTTTACTGCGCCAATATCTGAACACGCTTTTAATTGTCTCTATGAAAAGGCGTACAACATTCCCAAGTTATTATTAAATTCACCATTTTGTTTGGTATTTAGTCAAAGTCAATGTTTGCATGCAATTTGATGAGGTGATGGATGCGTTTACACATATGTAGTTATTCCATAAGTATGTGTGTGCGTGTGTGTGTGTGTGTGTGTAACTATTAATCAATAGTTCTTGCATATTTTAATTGCACAATAATCCATATTAGTGTAATATATTGAAAGCCCTAACAGCATTTTCACTAAGTTCACTGTTATTTGTAATGGATGTACTTGTAATTTTGTTGTTTTGCAATGGTACATAATAATAATAATAATAGCTAGTTCTTATATAGCGCTTTTCAGGACCGAAGGCCCTCTCAAAGTGTATTTTGACAAGTTGTGAAACATAATTTGATTGTTGACAGATTCTCTGGAGGGTAAGTACATGTATACTGGTTTATGTTTTTATTGTATGCATGCATGTTGAACAATTATAGTTATTACATGTATCTGATGTGCAATGTATTCTGTATCTCTTGTAGGTCTTGCGTAATGAGAATTGTATTTCTAGAGCTGATTGTCCCCATTTCCAATGTAACATTGAAAGCAAATTCTCGTGTGTATATCATTGAAGTTATATTATATATATATTTACATGTTTGCCAAGTTAAGTAACATTATTACTGAAAAACAACATTTTGTTTTAATACATTTATTTTTATGTTTTATTGACTTTCATGGGGGGGGGGGGGGCATTTTGGGAGATGTTTTATAGAAATAATGGATTCTTGCTACAATGTACATGTACATTCATGTATCTATTTAATTACTGGTGTCAAATAACTATTTGAGCTCTAACTGACACTTGTCCTCTGACTGTTTGGTTGTCTCTCTCGCTCTCTCTCCCTCCCTCTCTCCCTCCCTACCTCTCTCTCTCTCTCCCCTCTCCCTTCCTCCCTCTCTCCCTCTCCCCTCCCTCTCCCTCCCTCCCTCCCTCTCTCCCTCCCTCCCTCTCTCCCTCTCTCCCTCCCTCCCTCCCTCTCTCCCTCTCCCCTCTCCCTCTCTCTCTCTCCATCCCTCCCTCTCTCTCTCTCCTTCCCTCCCCTCTCTCCTTCCCTCCCCCTCTCTCTCTGTCTCTCTGTCTCTCTCCCTCCCCCTCTCTCTTCCCCCTCTCTCTGTGTCTCTCTCCGTTCTTCCCTCTCTCCATCCCTCCCTCTCTCTCTCTCTCTCTCTCTCTCCCCCGCTCCCTCCCCCTCCCTCCCCATTCCTCCCTCCCCATCCCTCCCTCCCTCTCTCTTCCCTCTCTCTTCCTCACTGTAGGAAAGCTGAACCAGCCTGAAGCCCTAGAGTCCAAAACTCGGCCCTCTAAGACCTACCTAGCATACATGCGAGCCGCTGGAGGGGTGGTGGTATCGCTCCTCGTCATACTCATCTTTCTCATCTCTCAGGCTTTCGCCACCTTCGGTAACTTCTGGCTCAGCTACTGGCTTGAGCAGGGCAACGGCACCAAGATACATGTGGTAAGTGTATTAAAACAGGGGACTGTTTCACAAAGACTAAGATCGACTTTAAGTTGGACTTAAAGATAAAGTTGAGTTCTGGTCATGCGATTGCTTTGTGAAAGAAACGCTGTGGAATCGATCAGAAAAGGTTGATCATCTAGCATATAAGTATTGGTGTGAACTGCAAGGTTCTGGTATCATCAGAATGATAAGAAAGTTGACCAAGTCTTGGTCAAGTTACAAGCACTGTACACATAAAGATGTATATGGGACTACACTATCATGTGGCATAAAAGTCTGTTTCAATTTTTATGATGTTACATGCCATATTTAGAATATTAAGGCGTTCGAACAGCCACACTTTTCAGGGAACATTTTTTCTCTGACGTTCTTCCACACTTGCATAATAGAATGATAGCGCTCACAAATTATTTTTCACCTCTTTCCAGAACTCAACCTACTCTTTAAATATGGCAGGCCGTTCATGCCACTGTTTGCTCTCACCGTTATGATCTTTAGATAATATTTTTTTCTTCAATAATGAATTATCAAAAAATATAAATTCTGTAGATTTGTGACCATGATTTGTAAGTCACTTGAGAGACCAATGCCAGTAAACGGCGAGAGCAAACAGTGGCATGAATGGCCTGCCAATCTGCCATAGTTAAGTGCAACTTAAAGTCGATCTTAGTCTTTGTGAAACATCCCCAGATGTTATACAAAATTTAGACTACTCTGAGAGGAATGGTTATAACTATTGCCTTGGAGACGATCTTGGAACGGTGTTTACTGTGCTATGAGATTGTATCATACAGACATACAGTAATACATGTACAGTGGCAAGATTACCAATGGTTGTAACCTTATCCATAACTTAAAAATTTCAGCTACCGTAAATCTGCATGTAAGGCGCACCTGTGTATAAGGCGCACCCCTATTTTTTTTGTTTTGTTTTGTTGTTGTTGTTGTTGCCAAAACAGAAACACACGTGGGGAAGGACTTTCATTTAACATCGAGGTGCAGTTGAAGGCGCCGTTTTGTGCTTGTGAACTTGTCTCGTTTTTAGAATAATGTGTAAGATCATTAATGTAAATTAAAAACAGTAGAGTACCTAGGATAGAACCTTGCGGTACGCCATGAATTATTATTATAAACTACATATTGAAATCTATTAGTATTAGAAAGATTGCTTTCAAACCAAGATGACAGACAAATTTGAGTGTTGTTGTAGTTTCTGAATGGTGAGTCAACATACAGATTACTGAGCTGGGAGACATTGCCAGGCATAGCGCCAGGCATAAATCGAAACTTAAAAAAAAGAAAGTGTGCCTTATAAACAGAGATTTACGGTAGTCGAAGCCAGCAGGGCACTCACTCCTATACTGTTATACAGAGATAACACACTTTGGGCTCTGAGCAGATGATGCATGTTCTCCATCTCGCATGTGAATCGTTGAAAGAGGAAATTCTGGTAAAAATGTGCATGTCAAAATATACAGTGTACAGCTGGTAGGAAATTAACAGTTAAAGATTTCAGTCCATCTGTTGTACAACCATGTGCCTAACTTCTTTGAGTAGACTATGAATGTAAAATATGATGATTTTAGATGTTGATATTAACTGACAATTTTGTCTGATGTTGATTTCTTGCCTCTAGAATGCCTCCACAGTAGGAAGTGATTTTGATCCCTATAGTCAGATGAATGTGTCTGATAATCCTAGGCTAAGATTCTACCAGCTCGTCTATGTAGGCTCGGTCATTGGATGCCTGCTCTTTGGTTTCATGAGGGCCGGTGTGTACGTCAAGGTAAGATGCTTGGACCTTAGATGGTTTTGTACATCACCTACCGATTCTTGCAACCTCATTGGTCAATTCTTAATCACATGACATGCTCTAAAAGTAATGTTGAACGGCATCATCCTCCAGGCGTGTAATTCCGTTTGATCAATTTGCACCATTGCACGCTGACGTCACTAACACTGTACAAAGTATATCGTGAGGTAAGTGACTTCATCGTGCAATGGTACCAATGGATCAAACAAAATTTATTTAAAAAAGAAAAGAAAAATACGATTTGGGGGAATTTTTTTATCAAAACTTAAAAGTTTGATAATTTATAAATTTATTAAAAAATAATTATTATTATTTTGTTTTTAATTCCCCCAAAAAATCAACTCCCAAATAGTACTCTCATATAGTACTTCTACTCCCAAATAGTAATTTTTCAGAGCAACCTTAAAATAGTTCAAATATTTCTGGTCATGTAGCGAGCTCTCAACCAATCAAAAACCAATAAATTATTGATGCAGGATATAAAAGGAAACAAAAAAAACTTGAGTTGATAGGGTTGATGGTAAACAGTGGAGTAGAAGCCTAAAAGCTTAAACATTAGTAATTTTTTTTTATGAATCAACTACATACAAATTATTCTAAATTAAATTAATTCTAATTGTCCTCATATTACAAGTGATATGATTCCCTGCCAGGTTTTTTAGAATAAACAAATTTGGCCCCTGGTCAAATGAGTTGTTTTGAATGAATTATGTTGTATTGTTATCAATTAATCAATAGTAAAAAGCAAGAATTTTGTTGTTGTTGCTTTAATAATTAATTGCTTTTTAAATGTTACACATAGATATACAATGTACATGTACCTGTAGAATGGTCACCATGAGAGCAGTTTCTTTCAAACGACTTTCAAAGTAACCTAAGTAACCAAACATGGTTGTTAACATACTTACATGTATCATGTATCATACCGTCATTGTTGGTCAAACAGTTTTTGAGCGTCATGTAACGCCTGGCTGGAATGCTTCCCAGGGAGTGGAGATTGTGCACACATTGTGTGCGGGCAAGCACTGAATCCAATGACCGGGGTAATAGTATATTTGTAAAGTGCTTAGAGACATTTGTATTAAGCGCTATATAAAAATTAAATATTATTATTTATTTTATGTAAGATATCTTTCATTGTTGTTATTGAATATATTTATCTGCAGACCACTCTGAGAGCAGCATCAAACTTGCATAACAAGGTCTTCCTCAACATCATACACAGTCCTATGGCCTTCTATGATACCACTCCATCAGGACAGATCCTCAACAGATTCTCTAAAGATCTTGATGAAGGTAAATGATGTTGTTGATGAGTTTAGAATAAATCGGAAGCGAAGTTCAGAACGTAACAATGTTCGATGTGAGGGAGTGAGGGAGAGAGAGAGAGAGAAGGAAAGAAATTAAGAAAGAAAGAGAGAGAGAGAAAGAAAAAGAGCAAGAAAGAGAGAGAGAGAGAAAGAAAAAAGAAAGAAAGAAAGAAAGAAAGAAAGAAAGAAAAAGAGAAAAAGAGAGAGAGAGAGGGGATGTGGAGCATTTGTTTGTACCATATCTGTTGTGTGCATGAGTTGTATTTGCAGTCTGCTTGATATTCCACATGTTACACATGTTGATAGAAGCATGTCAAGATTTAATACTCCCCAGGGAATGAAGAGTGCGCACTCTAACTACAGATTGTAATGCCATGGCTAATTATAAACTGTAAAGAGCTAAGACCAGTGCTTTATATTTTAAGATTTAAAGAAGAAAGTATCATTAATGTATCTTTTCCTTATCATCATTGAACATTCTTTACTTCTATTTTCCTCCAGCCGATATCCGTCTTCCATTCGTCATGGAGTCCTTCCTCCAAAATGGCATCTTCGTCCTCTTCAACCTGTGCACAGTGATATACATCTTCCCCTGGTTTCTAGTAGGCGTGGTCATCATGGTCATCTTCTTTGTCGGCCTCAACAAGTTCTATCGCCCTGGTCTCAGGAACATCAAGATGCTTGACAACACTCTCCGCTCCCCGTGGTTCTCTCATGTTACCACGACAATGCATAGTCTCTCCACCATTCATGCCTACCAGAAGAAAGATGAGTTTATCAAGACGTAAGCGTAACATTGTTTTGGGTTTTGCTATATTTGGAAAGCAGAGCTTATTTTCATGATTGCACCAGTCAAGCCTTATACTGTAGGCTCATCCACACATGACTTGGGTAAACTCAAAACAAGACGCCGCAGCAAAACAAAAACAAAAGAAGTGAAATGTACTGCTCTTCCCATTTTTGAATCTTACAACAGACACATGAAGGCAGATGTACGTTAAACATGGCTTTATTCAAGTGGTTTATCATGTAAGGTGTAAACATGGCCTTAGTTTTGCGCAGTATTGGTCCAAAGAGAAAATTGAATTTTATTATTTTGAAGACATTACTGTAAGACCGAAAACCAAGTACAAACAAATGATTGGGGAACAGCAAATAATGTTCAGTGAATATAGCACCCTCTACAAGCAATGCAAGCCAGTGCATACACTGTACCAATATGTACCACAGTGTTGATATAGAACTTTTGCAAAGTAATGCCGTGACTCAATCATCTACACAGTCAATGAAGGATTATTCATGTAACGATCATTTCAAATGGCAAACTAATATGGCAAATTAATATATCAACAGCATTGTTTTGAAAAGCTTCTGGTTGATTTTGGACGATTTCCCCATGCCTTTTGTAAACACTGCCACGCAATGAATAGAGCACTACATTCACCGAGTGTTATTCATGTTTTTCTGAATATTTGCCTGTACTCCGTTTTCAGACATTGTGTCTGACCATGGACCTATCACGGATGGACATTCAACGTGATTCTTTCTTTGATCCAATGATAGTCGCCGCTTTCTGATTATGTGCATCTTAATGAGAACATTCAGCTGTTTTTAACAATAACGACTGCGTGAGCATTTTCGGTCATTGACAAAGGAGCAGTTTCCCTCTCTTGGGTTTTGTTTGGATGGTGTGCTCTGTAAGAGTGTGTCTTAAATGAAAGCATCCGCAATGGGGAGCAGCAAAGTTGAAAGGCAGACGATTTTGGTGATATGAAATGTATTATTGCTGATTCGCAAACTTTCGCACACACCTATGACCTTATAAAACAATTAGAAGGCCATGATCTGTATCAGCCCTGTGCATTGTAACTCTGGAATATTATGAGGAAATAGGGGGAAACTGGATTTTAAATCACAACCAATTCAACTATAAACTCTATCTAGTATATCAACATGTTTTTCAAAATAAAATACAGTACACGGAACAACAATTTCCGATTATAAGCAAGAACTGCACATCGATTTTCAATGATTTAGGCAAGTAATTATCTTCTGCGCATGTAGATTAACATGTGTAAAATCACTATCTTGATTCTGTCCCGGCATTTTGGCGGTGACCATGATGAGATCAAAGTGAAGAAACATTTACGGAATGTTATTGAGACGACATTGACGGAGACAATCACAATGAATTTGTTAAGAAAACGATGAATGTCCATCCGTAATAGGTCCATGGTCTGACTGACCGTAGTGGGGAAAATGTCAACACAACATGGAACGTATATGGAAAAGCAAAATTAGTTAAGGAGTTTCTTTTTACTCTTTCTTCTCCTGAGTCTTTTTGAATGTAGTACTGAAATCTCAGTTTGAATTAGGAATCTTAGATGAGGGACAAATATGATATCTGATGTCCACTTGAGATGGAGGATTAGGAAACACCCTTTTCACTTCTAGTAAAAGACATAATAAAAGACATAAAAAATATTCAGACAAACAATTATTACAATTATTCAACGATTCCGTGGGTCATTTTGAAATTGTAAATTCAGTCTCCTTGAAAAAAATGAAATGTACAATGAACATTTCCATGTACGTGTATGCACTCTGACAAGGGGCTAATAAGCTACAACTCTAGGACTCTACCCCCAAGAGATTTTAATACATGTAGTAAGTATGAGTTGTTGGAGATTTGGCTGAGGCATATTATTTGATGTTGTGTTCTTTCATCTTTCTTTCATTAATTAGATTTGAGAAGCAATTGGACAAACATTCCGTCCCATTGATGCTCTTCATGTTAGCCAATCGGTGGCTGGCGACTCGTTTTGACGTCATGACAACCCTCCTAGGGTGCTTAACAGCAACCTCCATCGTCCTAACACACGGCAGCATACCACCTGGCCTCGCAGGACTGGCACTCACATTTACTATGCAGGTATTAAGAAATGACTTACAAATTTTCTTGGTTGATATTTATTACATGTTTGTTTTTAATCTTGAATTTGTTTGGTAATCATATGTTCATCATAAGTAGGATGTGATTTGCCTATTGTTTGAAAGTACTCTTTATTACGAATGTTCAATTTCCTGAAAATAATGTTTGCCCTCAGTCGCTACGCTGTTTCCCTAAATTCTTAATGAACTTACTTTAAAGTAATATGATACTTCCTACTCTGTTTCATTATGTGTGCATTGTCTCATGTAATGAATTATTTGTAAAATATGTTCGAGGAAGATATTTTTCAATACTACAAAATCCAGAGTTCTCCCAAGCCTATAGATACTATAAGCAAGTATATATCTTGGGCCTAATGAGAGGTAAACACAACCTTAGATGAGAAAAGGAAAGGGAAAAAAAATCAAAAAGTTTCTAAGCAAACCCTTTCAGAATTGCCAATAAATATGTTGATTAAAGGGAAAGTGAAAAATATGCTTGGTCTATGTAGGGTTGGGGTGGGTTGCATGCAGACAATTCATTTATCTCACCTGGGTGGAGTATGGCAAATGTAGATTGATGTCTTGGCAAAGGACATGAGTGCTGGGCGGGACTCGGTTTTCATTAATTCCCCCCCCCCCCCCACACACACACACCATTGGGGATGTGTCTACGCCACTACATGTAGGTTCACATAATGTGTACCGGTATTAGAAGTGATACATATGAGAGGTTTTTAACTTAACGTTGTCTTTGTCATTTTTGTGCTTCAGTTTCTAGGTATATTCCAGTTCACGTTGAGGTTAGCCGCGGAGGTCGAGGCAAGATTTACATCCGTTCAGAGAATCATTGACTACACAGTGAGTGTCGAACATTCCATGGCAACAGAATGACACAGAAACACTAATTCTGAACATTTCGGTTTTAAACCAAAAAGGTTTCATTATAATTGAATAGCCATTAGGCGGACAACGGTCCATGAACGATCGTATCACTATACACATATACATGTAGCTGCTGTTAGTCATACATTATAGGTATTGATGATTATCGGCTGTATCAAATAGATTTGTTCACATTGTTCATTAATGATAATCATCATTTAACATGTACATGTATATCTTGCAAGATATGACAGCTATCATACTAAAAATGTTGAGTAATAGTGCTTTTGTGTCTTTCTGTACCAAAGAACTGCCTATGTTCTGCCAGCAAGTATTGAGTACTGGCCGGAGGTAATCGATGTGTAATTCTACAAGTATGATGTATGTGGTGGTTGACTGAATGTTGTATGTCTTTTGGTAAATAAAAGTACACTTTAAAAAATAATGCTTTCCGGAAGCACACTTATTACAGTTTTACGTAACTTTTAAAAAATTGTCCCATTTGTCAGTGATCAAGTCTTCTTGTTCCCTCCCAGGCAGACAGTGTACTTCAGGTAATTGATAATGATAATAGTCACATGTGTCTTTGAACAGGAATTACCAAGGGAGGCAGCCCCTACCATTGAGGGAGAAGAGCCCCCGGAGAAATGGCCAGAGCAGGGTCGCATCACCTTCCGCAAGGTGAAGTTGCGTTACCGTGAGAACCTACCTCTCGTTCTGAAGGGTGTGACATTTTATGTTAAGCCACGGGAGAAGATCGGCATTGTGGGAAGGACTGGTTCGGGTAAGAATGAATACTGGTCATACGGTTGTATGACACATGCTTTGTTGACAATTTCTTCACTAATTCGTCCCTATTTTCACGAAGAGACGGTAGTGAATGAAAATCGCATACAATTTGCGTGCAGATTTTCCTCACTATCGTCACTTCGTGAAAATAGGAACGAATTGTATTCCTTACATAATAATAATAATAACATTTAGCTTTTATATAGCGCTTTTTAAGATACAATGTCTCTAAGCGCTTTACAAATATACTATTACCCCGGTCATTGGATTCAGTGCTTGCCCGAACACACTGTGTGCACAATCTCCTCTCCCTGGGAAGCATTCCAGCCAGGCATTACTTGACGCTCAAAAACTGTTTGACCAACAATGACGGTCGCATCCTACCGGGTACCCATTTAACACCTGGGTGGAGAGTAGCAAGTGCAGGTTAATATCTTGCCAAAGGATATGAGCGCCGTGCTTCAACCTAGATCAAACACTGTTACAACCACTATGAACATGACGGACAAAGAAAGCGGACACATTATACAGTTCCTCATTCTACCCTCAAAAATTGCTTTGGTAGACAAAGGAACATCCCTTCACTGCTATTATGTAAACATAAGTAGCACAGGTGAATATGCGTGTGACACCTGTTCTACACATTTTTACATAATAGCAGTGAAGGGATGTTCCTTTGTCTACCACAGCAATTGTTGAGGGTAGAATGAGGAACTTTATGTTTTGTCCTCTTTCTTTGTCCGTCATGTTCATAGTGAACCTAACCCAACCTAAGGCAACGTTTAAATCAATGGGCAACCTAACCATAAACCAATGTCTCTGATGCACTAAAACCAAAAGCATTATGTTTTACCACTGGAGTCTATGCCAGATTTTGTTGACTTCATTTACGTGTGCATGTAAGTTTAATATTACAAGTGATGGGATTAATATGATGATGATATTGATAAAGCAAACGATGGAGCACCAGGGGTGTACAAGATCCCACTATTATTGTTATTATTATTATTATTTTATAGTTTTTCTACAGGCAAGTTTTCTTTCAGAATTACTCTGATTGGTGATTTTGGTATTTCACTAGGAGGAGAAAGGGAAGGATAATGATGACGATGATGATAATGATCATTGTTGATAATGATATTTATCAACAGTTCATCAGCAATATTTCTTTTTTTTAAATTATAATTTCTCTTTCTTCATGCACATGTTCTCTTTAAGAATCGTTCCTTGATATTTTGTAGTGATGTAGGTGATGATGATGATGATGATGATGATGATGTTGATGATGATGATGATGATGATGATGATGATGATGATGATGATGATGACGATGACGATGAGGAGGATGAGGATGAGGATGATGATGATTATGATGACGATGACGATGGCAATGAGGATGATGATGATGATGTTGATCGATGATGATGATTGTTGTAATGAGGTTAATGATGAGTTCCTATTATCCCTTCAGGCAAGTCATCCCTCGGTGTGGCTCTCTTTCGTTTATCTGAGATATCAGGAGGAAGCATGTTTATAGATAAGAAAGACATTGGTAAGATTGGCTTGAGAGACCTTAGATCCAAGATCTCCATCATACCTCAAGATCCAGTCCTCTTCATAGGAACAGTCAGGTAATACTCACCACCTATATATACTTCCTCCTCTTTTTTAAAGTCGTAGTCAAATAAAAAGTTTGGTGCTGAGAATTGTTCTTGTTCTTCCTCTTCTTTTTCTTCCTCTTATTCTTATTCTTTTTCTTGTTCTTTTTCTTTTTCTTCCTCTTCCTCTTCCTCTTCCTCTTCCTCTTCCTCTTCCTCTTCCTCTTCCTCTTCCTCTTCTTCTTCTTCTTATTCTCAATAAACACAGGCCACCATGTGGTCTGTTCTCCTATTTAAACCACACCATGATTGTGCATATGATATGATACATGTACATTTCTTCTTTTTATCTTTTTAAATCCGTTTTTTATCTGTTTTATGACACTCATGTTTATGTACGCTTACATACTTCAGTATTGTTTTATTTTCCTGAACTTCAATTATATTAAATGATTTTGGGTCAAGTTCTATTCCAACCCCCCTGGAATGACACCATATTGTTCTTTTTTCTGTTCTGCTGCAATGCTATACAGGTACAACCTGGATCCCTTTGATGAGCATTCAGATGAAAATGTGTGGAGAGCTTTAGAGAGAACTCATATGAAGAATACGGTAAGGAGCTTCTTCTTGTTTCTTTCAGGGGAAAATTTTGGGAAGAGAGAGAGAGAGAGAGGGGGGGGGGGGGGAGGAGGAAGAAATATATGTATATATAGAGAGAGAGAGAGAGAAAGATTGGGTGAGTGTGTGTATACTAGAGAGAGATACACATCACTGATTTACATGATAGCAGCATCTTTCAACCTTTTTTTAATCAAGGCACCCTTTTAAGAAATGAAAGGTTTTTTGTCACCCGATCCCAAATTCATCACAAAAGATACAAACTCTCAAGCTCAAGTTTTTCCAATTCTGTCCTTCTTTCTTACACAGATAAGCAAACTAGATCAGCAGCTGATGGCATCGGTGGTAGAGAATGGTGAGAACTTCTCAGTGGGAGAAAGACAGCTAATGTGCATGGCTAGAGCTCTGCTGAGGAACAGTAAGGTGAGCAAAGAACTGATAATTTACCAGTCTCTAATTTATGGGAAATTAGAGAGAAGGGATGATAATAATAGTTACATTTTTATTATAGTGCTTTATACTTCTGAGGCAGAATTATTATTATAACCCTGGTCATTGGATTGAATTGCTATTCCGCACATAATGGTGCACACGCTTCACTCCCTTAGGAGTATTCCAGCCCCCCCCCCCCCCCCCCCCCCCCCCCCCCCCCCCCCCCCCCCCCCCCCCCCCCCCCCCGGACAACTATCCTAGAGGGTAGTTGTCCTAGGGGGTAGATGTCCAGGGGGTAGGTTTCCTAGAACCACTTATTCCACCACATCACATTCTGGGTGAGAAGAAGCAATGTAGATAAAAAAAAAAAATGACTTGCCGGGGATCAAACTCATGATTTTCACATCTCCATTTAAGTTTTTCAAACCACTTTACTTTGACACTTCTTCAAAGGACTTTCTGTTCTGACCAATAGCATGCAGAAATATTTCTGTCTCAGTAGCTACAAAATAGCCGTATTTCAGAGACATTCATCTACATTTGGTAGTCTTTTTGCTTAATAAATCTAAGCTCTTAGGGGGGTGTTTCACAAAACTTGTCATCAGTGACAAATGACAGTTTTTGTTATAAGCTACTGAAATCCTTGCTTCTGATTGGTTATCAGCAGATTTGTCACTGATATTTGTCATTTGTCATTGATAAAAGGCTTTGTGAAACGCGTCCCAGATTGGAATCGATTTTCCTCATTCCTTTCACCATAGATCCTCTTCTTAGATGAAGCTACAGCAGCCATTGACAGCGAGACGGATACTCTGATCCAAGCCACCATACGAGAAGCCTTTCATGACTGTACTATGCTCACCATAGCACATCGTCTCAACACCATTGTAGATTCACATCGTATACTGGTCATGGATGATGGAAAGGTAACAATCTTTATGATAAACTAATATGATGAGTTTAAGCAGATGCTTTTAAAGGGATAGTTGAGTTTTGTTGCAGAGGGCGCTACACGATATAATTTTTTTGTGAGATAATGAAAAACTGAGTGTCAAATTCGAAAGAACATACAATTTAAATTACAAAATCATCTTTGTTTGATCGAAATTGGTTCAGAGACTGCTGAAATATCCAGAAATATAAAGACTTCTAAAATTTGTGATGCCCCACAAATATTCTACAATTTGAATCAGTCATTGAAAAAAACGATATAGCGCCTTATACTTTTTATTCCAGCCAAACAAAATCCTGGATTTAGCTCAAGCTGCAATGATAATTATAAACCTTTAGGTCAGTCAGGAACCCATGACTTTTACAAGCCGTCTGTCTAATTATCAAGATATTTATGATTGAAAATCGAAACCAAATTTTGCGGTTTTCATAACACTACAGTGTATTAGGGAAAATAAGTATGGTAAAACCGGTCACTCAAAGATTTTTACTTTTTTGAGGCACTTCTTGATCATTTTAAAGCGAGATTTTTTTTTAGGGCTTCAATATTATACATGGAGGGCCATGCATCTCAGATTTAACATTGTTAAACAATGCTTTTATGCAGATTGTAATTTGTAGATTGTATGTATTGTATAATAATGAGCAATCGCTGCTTCAAGTAAATGTATCAAAAGATATTTGTTGACATCTGTAAGGAGATTCCCAACTAGGCCAATACAATTTGTTTGCTGCTGGGTAGTTGATGTCATGTATTACTAATCTATCCAAAACAAATTAAAGTAACAAAACATTATAGTGCGGTATGGTATGTAATCTGTTTTGGCTTTAAAAGGGTCCCAATTGGCCAAAAATGATGGGGTTCAAATTTTCAGATCCCTCCTTCACTTGGTGTCTTCGGGAAAATTTGAACCCCATCAATTTCTGATAGCTTGGACCCCAATGAATCCAAAAATGCAACAACAACAACAAAAAAAACAAAAAACAAACAAACAAACAAAAAAAAAAAAAAAAAACAACAACAACAACAACAACAACAACAACAACAAAAAAAATCAATTTTGGCACAAAAGTTCTACGGGAGCTGTTTCGGTGACATACCGTACCACACTATTACTTAAGGATGTAGCATAAGAAATTTGTGGAGCACACCTGTTAATGATCATGATAATGATAAAAATGGCCACACACTAAATATTAATATTGTAAGGGTTCTGTCAGTCAAGCGTGCTGAACAGTGCCCATATGAAATATGGAACTATTTCACAAATATTATTGTTGAGGTATTTTGATTTGATTTGATTTATTGGTTTCTGCATCTTTTATCCTTTTTTTCATCATACATTTTCATGAAAATAATATGTAGGTATGTCCTACGAAAGTCGCTTACTGAGTATTAAGTAGTCCCAACGAGGAGATGAAATAATTAGGGAAAAAAAACATTAGCATAAACCTTTTAGGTCTGACCTTGAGACATTTTGATACCATTTTGTATTTAAAGTTCATCTGGTGATTTTTTCTTCTTCTTTAGATTGCTGAGTTTGACCGGCCAGCTGTACTGATGAACAAACCAAACTCCATCTTTAAGTCTATGATGGAGGCTGTAGCTGCTCAGAAAGAACTTGCAGAAGTGTTTGGATCCACAAATAGCCTTCAAGTCCCGTCTCAAATCTAGCATCATTGCGATTGATTCAATTTCAAATTGATTGCAACTTGCAGAAGTGTTTGGATCCTCAACTAGCCTTCAAGTCCCGTCTCAAATCTAGCATCATTGCGATTGATTCAATTTCAAATCGATTGCAACTTGCAGAAGTGTTTGGATCCACAACTAGCCTTCAAGTCCCGTCTCCTATCTAGCATCATTGCGATTGATTCAATTTCAAATCGATTGCAACTTGCAGAAGTGTTTGGATCCACAACTAGCCTTCAAGTCCCGTCTCATATCTAGCATCATTGCGATTGATTCAATTTCAAATCGATTGCAAGTGGCAGAAGTGTTTGGATCCACAACTAGCCTTCAAGTCCCGTCTCCTATCTAGCATCATTGCGATTGATTCAATTTCAAATCGATTGCAAGTGGCAGAAGTGTTTGGATCCACAACTAGCCTTCAAGTCCCGTCTCCTATCTAGCATCATTGCGATTGATTCAATTTCAAATCGATTGCAAGTGGCAGAAGTGTTTGGATCCACAACTAGCCTTCAAGTCCCGTCTCCTATCTAGCATCATTGCGATTGATTCAATTTCAAATTGATTGCAACTTGCAGAGATGTTTTGGATCCACAAATAGCCTTCAAGTCTCGTCTCCAATCTAGCTTCTGATACTTGTACAGTACATATTTATTCCTTGAAACGCAGCGCGTGTAACAGCTGCACTGCTAAAGCCAGGGTAATTATGCTGCATTATTGTAGAGTGCTTAGAGACTTCTGATAAAGTAAGTGTTAGGCGCTATATAAGCAAGGATAATCATTATTACGTGTTGATCCTATTGCGATAGACTCAATTTCAAATCGATTGCAACTTGCAGACATGATTTTTATCAGCAAATAGCCTTCATGTCCCGTGAGTGTGTGTGTGTGTGTGTTTGGATTTTTACAGACTTGTATCAATCAGATATGATTATTTACGTCTGGAGACCGACCTTAAAACGTCCCCATCCGAAAGACGTGACTCAGTTTTGAACCTGCGTCCTCGGCTGAATCAGTTTGTAACTTCCATTGTCAGCTGGATTACAGGCGCACGCCACAACGCCCCGTCTTCAATCTAGTATCTTTTAAATGTAGGCCCCGTCTAAAAATCGTTTGTGGTTAATTCCAATTAATTGCAACTTGGTATCGATTGGTGTTTTGTGCAAATATGGCTGGAAAGTGTGTTGTAAAGCTTCCTGGGTACAGCATGTACGGTGCAGTATACAAATACATTGCCTTGAGAGTATATACAGTCAAACCTGCTTTAGGGACCACCTGTCTACAAAGACCACTTTTTGTGTTTCCCTTGGGCGGTTGCTATAGACAGGTTTGACTGTAGTTAAATCTATGGGCTTGAGGCAACTCTAAAACTTAAATTTTGTTGGGGGGGGGGGTGCATCCCTGATGGAAATAGTACCACAGATTGTACAATTTAAAGTTTGTTAATGTTACAAACAAACATTTCATGAAATTGATATCATCAGTAATAGGCTTACTAACTGAACTCATTATTAGCTAGAAGTGCAATATCCTACATGTATGTATTGTAGGTGTTTAGTATGAAGGACATTGCTGAAATTTTTAGAGCTTTTTGTATTTTTAAAGATGTAAGATTGTATTTATTTTGATTAGTCCCCCCCCCCCCCCCTCCCATCTCTCACCCTTTAAAATTCAAGCATTGCCCTTTGTATATCAAGTCCATTTCTGAAACACGCTGTCCCTTTTATTCAAACTACTCTCTCCTCCCTCCTGAATACACCTTACATCTTTATTTGTATAACTGTATGAGACAATAAAGAATCCATTTGGTATTTTCTTTAAACCCCCCCCCCCCCCCCCCCCTCCGTTTTCAACCTCTCTCTTGCGCTTTCAAACATTTATTATATCTGTATCATACCCCTGCACTGTGCTAGAAATCAAAACCTTTCCTGAAATACATTGTACTATTTAATGTCATCTGCTGCCTTCCCTCAAAAATTATACATGTAGTTGTAAAAGGGGGATGATATACACTTTAGAGAGAAGGTTGAGTTCTGGGAAGAGGTATAAAATAATTTGTGAGTGTTATCATTGTATTGTGCAAGTGTGGAAGAACATCAGATAAAAAATGTTCCCTGCCTTAATATTCTAAATATGGCATGTAACATACAAATCCGGACAGATTTTTATGTCACGTGAAGTCCCATATACATCTTTCTGTGTACAGTGCTTGTGACTTTACAAAGACTGGGCCAAATTTCTTATCATTTTGATGATTCCAGAACCTTGCAGTACACACCAATACTTACATGTATATGCTAGATGATCAACCTTTTCTGATCGATTCCACATTATTTCTTTCACAATGCAATCGCATGACCAGAACTCAACTATATCTCTAACCCCCCCCCCCCCCCCCTCCCCTTTCCATTTTCATGTAGAATTTTCTCTTTCGATGTCTCCATGAACATGTACTGAATAATCAATGAAGACTTGCTGAAATACATTCAATCCATTGCAGTTGTGCTTGCTCTACTAATATTGCTGCATTATATATATGTGTGTAGGCCTACATACATGTACATTTGTACTCTCTACATGTTCATCTATTTTGACTTATTTATGTGTTTATTTTGGTGCACTGAACATGTGCATTTAAGTAACATTACATATTTATTTTGCTGAAACCCCCTCCTTATAAATAAGTGCATTTATAACATATTTTCTTTAACTACTTCTGTTTAATTTATAATATTATTTTCTGTGACTTTAGCTCCTTTGATATAAGTATGTTTTGGGTCATTGTATTTTGTATGTATAGTGCTTTATACAGACTTCGGTGAAAATCGCTTTATAAACATTGTTTTATTATTAATGCCTTTGAACGAGTTACTGTATGCCAAAAATAAATATTACCATAAATGTTTAAATAGTCTCACATTCTGTGTTAAGTAGTGGTATTGAAAGAAATGGCATTAGTAAAAAATGTGTTCCTTACTTTGAAGGGGCAGAACATATCTTTTATTTATACAGTTAACAAAGCTCAAAAAGTCATAAAAGCTGAAAGTTTCTTAAAAATTGAACATACATGTATTTATGCTGTACATGTTCTTGTAAACTTATTTAATATGTATCCAATGAAATAAATGTTATAACATTGTAAGTGAGATTCAAAAGTGAGACTGTTACTTTAAAAAAAAAAAAAATAACATGAAAAGTGATTTCAGCTTATAACTTTAAGTATTTAATGAATTGAGTTTTTATTGTCTATGTCTTTTAAACTTGAATTTGTGTAAAATTGTATTGCATCATCCTTCAAAAGATTTTGTATTTTGGAAAAAAAGGTAGCTTATTAGTACCTTAGTTCTAGGCTTATCTCCAGTTGATTTTGTATAAGTCAAAGTTGCACAACTCGAATTTCACTAGAATACTTCAATTTTTGGGACCAAACAATGCGAAATATGTGTTATTTACAATTCCCAAACTGAATTTTGCACAAGTCAATCTTTTTTGTGTGGTCCGAACAGATTCAACTTATGCAGAGTTTAACTGTCCTTCAATAATGCTGTTATTCTTTCAAAAACTAACCTGTGAAAGTGAGAATGTATTGGAATTACATGTATCATGAGCATTCTTTCTACATGTTGTAATGTAATCTTTCATTTCATGAGTTTGCTCATTGTCCATGTTCGTATATTTTGGTGAATGTCACTTATAATATGCTGATATTTTTTTTGGCAGCTGCATTTTTACATGTACCGTATGTGGTATAATTTTCTTCAATATACGCACAGCGTAGATATTTTGTATATGTCTCTGGTCTCTGGAAATTTTTATATCGAATCATATGGATGATTTTTCTAAACAATAAACAAATGTATTTCTGTAAAAAGTAATTACAGTGATTAATGTGAATGTTAATATTATCATTGTGAAATAAAAAGTTTACACATAAATGTGGAGGAATGTGGGAAAATTATGTCAACTTTCAATGATTTCAGTTGGAACACTTCACATATATGAAATTATGTGAGTCATGAATTTGTGTTTAAATATTTAATTGACAACATGTCAACTCTTTTTGCGGCATTATAATTTTTCAAATATTCTAAATCCTCTCACAATCTCAGGATTATTTTGTCGGCTAGAAGCCAGAAGGGCATTAATACATATTACCTGGAGCTAGAAGGGTATTATCTTTTAAAGCATCTCTCAAAAAAACTCTTATATCGAAGTATCTACCTAACTGATTTCAACATGCAGTAGGCAGTTATTGTCAAATTTTGGTCACATTGCAACTCAGTTTTGCAAATTTTGTTTTCTATTTCATATTCTTAGTTTCCTTTATTGTAAAGGCTATATTTGTTTCCACCTCACCGAGCTACGTGCACTTCCACTATTCGTTACAAACACAAATAAGCACGCTCGCGTGCACATTCACACACACGCACGCACACACACACAATATATATATATATATATATATATATATATACTTGCACAACACACTCACAAACTCATACACTAAGATCGTTTGAACACTTTTTCATTTTAAGGTTTACCTTAAGATTTTTTTGTTTTTGTTTTTTTGAGGCCGCCATCCTTGTCAAGCTTTGCTTATGATTGCGGTCTCCTGCACTTTTCCAATAGAAAAGTTCGGATAATACTTTAAATTTATGATTATATGTTATGGAAATATTAAGTTTCGTTATTATATGTACATATATTATGTAAAAAAACATTTTGACATGAAGAAATTATTGTTTGTTTATGTTGTATTATACCTTACATTTATATGTTCTTTGTTATTCAGTTATATTTCATATGGAAAAAATGCAGAAATAAAATCAAATCAAATCAAAAACTCATTGTTAAATGAGTTTAATAATGTCTTACTTGCTCCAAAAATATATAACAGTTGAACCCGTTTGGCTCTTAACAAACGGTTCAAAAGAACCAAATCATACCTTTCCATCTCTCTTGAGTCCATTTGAGAGAACATTGTTTGGATGCTGTACATGTATAATATTTTTGTATACTATGTCATTTATGTCTTATAAAAGTATTCCCTTGTGGATTTGTTTGGTGTGTACAGTGTATTTGTATGACTTAACTGTTGTCAAATTATCATCATGATTATTCACTGAATGTATATTTCTATTTCTTTTGAGCTTCATGCACAAGCGCTATTTCATACAAATTGTTTTATCTTAAGACATATGACTTTTTATTTGATTTGTATGTCAGTATTTCTGTCCATTCCTAATGCGATGAAGACAAGGTTTTAGGGCCTATTTCCGTTAGGAATAACAATATTAATGGTGCTGTGATCATGAAAGTAGTATTTTCTAGTTGTTGTTTTCTTTTATTTGAATTTGTAGCGTCTTTCACTTTATCATTTTGTGTAATAGTCGATCAGGAGAGGCTCCTCATTTGCAATATAGACATCAGTCAACTCATTGTTATTTTTTGTTTTAAACAGCGCGAGATAATAGTCTTTTTAGAGGCAAAGGGAATTAGTATGCTAATTAATGCCCTTTTGGATGCATACTAATGCCTTCCAATTAAAGTATAGTTGTAGAATTAAGATAGAAATAATAGGAATGCATGCTCATTAACTTTTTATCATAAAATGAATTTATGTGTATATTGTTCGGATGTTCCCAAAATTTCAGTGCCTGATTTACTTTTGCAGATCCAATATAAGACATTCAAATTGAAATATCTGTTGTCAAGAAAAGTTGCTTTTTGTTGTGTTTTGAAACAGAATGGAGAGAGAGAAAAGGGAAGAGAAATAGCAGTGACGATAGGAGGAGATAAGAGTGAGAGAGAGAAAAACACTAATGGAGAAATGGACTGAGTGATCAGGGAAGATAAAGAAAGAGAGAGAGAGAGAGAGAGAGAGAGGGTGCAAAAGTGAAAAGACGGGGTAGAGTTGGGGGAAGGGATTGAGATAGAGAGAAATGGGGAGGAGGGGGTGTAAGAAACAAGAAGGCGGAAGAAAAGAAAAAAAAGGTGGAGAGGGGGGAAGTGATACCGTTTTAACTTTCAACCTTTTTAACTCTCTCTCTCTCTCCCCCTCAGTTTTTTGTTTATTTAGTTATTTACATATATTTATTCAATAATTATTTTTTGGGGTAGGGAGACGTATTTATCCCCTTTTCCCCTAGGTCCATGAACACCACTGGCAATAATAATAATAATAATAATAATAATAATAACTTTTACTTATATAGCGCTTTTCATAAGACTTATATCAAAGCGCTTTACAATATTGATACAAATAAAACTAAACAGAGTAATGACAAGACTACAAATTTAAAGTGAAATTAGCAAACATAAGATAACAGGGTAAGGTACCAATTTAAGAACTAGGTTGAATATGCATTTTCCATTAGATAGGTTTTTAATTTTGATCTAAACGAAGTAATATCAGAGATGGAGTCTGGAAGTGAATTCCACAAACATGGAGCAGAGCATGAAAAGGACCAATCACCAAAGTATTTGGTTTTTGCTTTTTTAACGGTCAAGAGAGTTTGATTTGCAGAACGAGCGAAGGGGCCTATTGGGTGTGTATAAGTGAATCAGTTCAGAAAGATAATTTGGGGCATGACCATGTAGAGACTTGAAAGTTAAAAGAAGAACTTTGAGCTGGACACGAAAGTGAATGGGGAGCCAATACAATTGTTTAATTTGGTGTAATATGGTCATTGTACTTTACATGTATCATGATTAAAGACCTTTAAAAGTTCATGACATTCAAGTCACATTTATTATCGGTAAATTACCGGCAATTTCAGTGTAAATTATAAACTTTATATGAGGATTGTACTGGGAACAGTGTATCAAACAATTTTTCAGATTTTGTACTCCGCCCTTTCAATAATTTGTGTGCCAGAGTTTCGGTAAAAAGCAAAATTAGTGAGACCCTGACAAAAGCTCAATACTTTGGGATAATCCGATTATTTTCGCATTTGTTTAATGTCCCTTCATTTAATCCATTAAGTTCAATCTTCGATAAATTTAAATTTGCGAATACGTGCTTTCGCGTGTTTTTTTGTATTTTTGCAGTTGAAAACAAGTATGAAATTACACAAGTTTGTGTTCGCTTGTTCAACTCATTATTTACACGTTCAACAATATTATTGATGCGAAATCATTCATAGGGACAGCGAACATTTGCTGATGTAGGAATTCTAGATCCTTATATTTCATGCGCTCTTTTATCTCACCACCTGGTCAACAGTTGCAGATTAGCGCATATTTTTTTTTCGGCGGCTTGGAGCATCTTGAACGTGTCTTTCCCCGAGCCCTCGGTAACACACGATTATCTATTCACCAAGTGCTTTGTATGAAAACAATAATTGACGGAATCTACTTTAAACCTTACGCATGTTTGAAGTCGTCAATAGAATTTTTTTTTTTAAATGTGCATAAAATGGTAATATGGTATATTATTAATTCAGTAAGAAAGATATTCATGGAATTCCAAACGTCTAAAAACGTCCTATTGTTGAAAATCAGACCCTAGGATTACCTCTGGCAATCCACCAACAATGAATATTGCATATTTCCAGTCCCTTATGCACACGCTTGAGGGAGTGAGAATAATTAAAGGATGGACAATACAAGACATTCTTTCCTGACTTGGATTCACTTTGCGAAGTAAAGGGCTGTGAGTTCGGAACAGAGTAAAGGCTTCAAGCTCGTTTGCAAATACAGCACAACTACTTCCAAGATTAACACAGAAATCGAGGACAGCTATAAACTTACCATCGAAAGATTACTCAGTGATTACTTACAAGGTAAAAAAAGTATTCTCTTTATTTGTTTAGTACTAGTCTGTTGTATGCCGACGATGGACAAACCTCTTTGAGGAAACATAATATGCTTCCATAGCACAACCACGACCATACAAATCAAAACGTTGGTGAAGTACAGTTAAACCTGAATCTACCGACGCAACCGAAACAGAAACAGAAACAGAAATGTGAGGGGGCAGTCACTCAGAACTTGAAAGATATCAACTGGAACATGCATGGTTTCGAATTTTGATTGGATATTAAAATAAAAGATACTTATTGACTGGGTTGAACAATTTAAAAGCCATGTATTGTTGCTTGGTTGACTTTTGTGAAGGTTTTAAAACAATGTGTACAGCTTTTGTGCATTCCGTAAAAAAAATAAAATCTTCTCGTTTATTTCCACACCTCAACAACTCGCATTACGCTCACATTCACTTGTTTATTTACATAGGATAGACCAACATCATTTTACGCTCAAGGCATTTCAAGATAACTTAGACAGAACAAATCTAGAAATGTCTCATCTTCAATTCGAGACGACTGTGAATGAGTTGATCAGACTGGATGGACCGCTCGCTATGGGCACCGGAAATGATCTACCAAGATGGCAACGAAAGGCTATGGAAAATAGAGGTATTGTACATTATTGTGATGAAAATAAGTATGATTATGATAAAGGTGATGATGATGATGATGACGACGATGTGATGATGAGGATGAGGATGATGATGATGATGACGATTATGATGATGGTGACGATGATGACGATGATGATGGTGACGATGATGACGATGATGATGACGATGTGATGATATGATGGTGGTGATGATGATGGTGGTGGTGGTGTTGGTGATGATGATGATGGTGGTGATGATGGCGATGATAATAATGGTGATATGATGATGATAATGATGATAAGAATGGTGGTTGTGGTGGTGAGCGTTGTCAGCGTGGTGAACAAAGGTGATGGTGGCGATAGTGATAGTGGTGGCGAGATGGTGATGGTGGTTGTGATGAAGATAATGGTGACTGATGGTATTAATGATGGTGGTGATGATGATGGGGATGATAAAGATGATGATGGTGGTGGTGATGTTGGTGAACATGCTTCTGGTAAGATAAGAAGATTGTGATGTTATAATGATAATGATGAGTTAAGAAAGATTTTGAAAAAAAGATGTCTTCCCTATGCCGATTGTTTAATTCAATTGCCGATTATTATACTAATTTTCGATTTCATATAATTTGTGTATGATGAGGGCTTGCGTTGTCACCTTCCAACGTTAAGAAAACTATTTCCTGTGCGGTTTAAGAATACCTCTTAAACGTAGAAGCTGCAAGAAGGCTCTCTGTATATCACCGACTGCTGTGAAAAGATGATGATGGTGGTGGTGGAGATGATGATGACAACGGAAGTGGTTGTGATGGTGACGACAATGGGAATGACAATGATAATCCCGATAATGATGAAAGTGAAAATTACGATCATGATGATAACAATGGTGATGATAATAATCGTGGTGGTTTGGGGATGAGGAGGATGATGATGATGGTGGTGGTGGTGATGATGGTGGTAATGACAATGAAAGCTGATAATGATGATAATGATGGTGATGATGATAGTCGTGGGGGTTTGGGGATGAGGAGGAGGATCATGGTGGTGGTGATGATGGTGATAATTATAACGATTTTGATTATTTTCGGCATATTCCCCATGAAAAAAGACGAATTTGTCTACACCGATCGCTTCTTCAGATTAATAACAATATTATTCCGTTTTTATAATAGCGCTTGATACAAAATGTCTCTAAGCGCTTTACAGATATTCTATTACTCAGGTCATTGGATTCAATACTTACCCGGACACACTGTGTGCACAATCTCCACTCCCTGGGGAGGATTCTAGCCAGGGGTTACTTGACGCTCAAAAACTGTTTGACCAACAATGACGGTCGCATCCTACCGGGTACCCATTTAACACCTGGGTGGAGAGTGGAGAGAATGCCGAGCTATACAGTGATTTCAATCTTATAATTTATTGATAAATTTCCTATTTCATATATTTCCAGAGAGGGGGCTTGCATTGTCACCTTCCAACGTTAAGAGAACTCCTTCCCGTGGGGCTAAGAAGACCCCTTCACGTAGACACAGCTCCAAACAGACTCCCTGTAAATCACCTACTACTAAGAAGACTAGCAAGACACCAAGCAGAGAGCCGCTCAAGCAGCATCCTGGCGGAGATAGGTATAGTCCGATCAATCATAAATCGTTACCAATACCCACAGAAATACCATAAGGACAATAACCCTTAGACTACCACTCCTAAGAATAACCACCCCTTAGGATAACCACCATAATATCACAGCCAAGAATTACCTTACTTTTCACTTAAACAACTACAGGTGAATGTGTGGAGATAGTTGTCAGGGCGTAATTGCTCTATACACTCCGGGTATACTTCTAAGGGCAATAATTGTCCGAGGGGAATTATGGGGGGGGGGGGGGGGTAGTAGGTTGTCCGGGTATGTTGGTCCAGCGACACCAGTTGTCAGACCAACAAAATACCAT